ACACATTTTTTTTTTCACAAAGGAGAAATAGGGGCATAGAAAGAAGGGATGAAGCCAGGCATAGAGGTGCACACCTATAATCCCAGTGGCTTGGGAAACTGAGGCATGAGGTTTATAAGTTCACAGCCAACCTCAGCAACTTAGGCCCTAAATAGCTCAGTGAGACTTGGTTGATGAATAAGAAATTACTTGCTGTTTTAACATGGCTGAGTAGTTGTAATTTCTGATAAAATAAAATGAGGGTGGGGAGTGTGGCTCAGTGTTTCAACACCCCTGGATTCACTCTACAGTACCAAAAAAAAAAAAAAAATAGGGATGGGATGAGAACAAAGCAAGAATGAAATCCAGCTGGGCAAACAACTTTTGTAGCTCCAACAGTCAGCATCTGGGGCATGCCACAGGGCATGGTGCTCTTCTCTCCAGTGGGCTTGTGTAGCTCCACCCATGTGGCCTTGCTAGTTGCAGCCCACATGGCCTCTCTCTTGTCTTGTTTCTATTTATTTCCTGCAGCTTTCCTCAGCAGATGTCCCATGATACTGACATTTTTGAATCTCGGGGGGGTCTCTCCACTGCAGCTTTGGCTGCCTCATATTTTTATGCATTGCCCAGTCCCCCAAGCCTTCCTTTGAAATCTTGGTGAAAGTCTCATGACCCCCTAACTCCAGCATTTGCCTTCCTGTAGAACCAGCACCATGTGGTTGACACCAAGGTCTGCTGCTATCTGGAATAGGAGTCCAGCCTCCAGGGACCCTGGCTGCAGCAGCCTCCTAGTGTCTATAAGTGCCTGAGCACAGCGAAACTCTTCCCAAGACTTCCTGTACAAGCAGTGCACCCCTTGGTCTCTTAAGATTTTTTACTTTTACTTCCTTGAGCCTCAGATGATCTGGCCAATTCCTGAGACCTGTCAAACCATCGTTCCCATTGTCCCTGGGTAAAGTATTTAGTATCTCTTCAGTGGCTGTAATGTGCTTAGCAACCACACCTTCTGTAGCCACTGTTTTACTTCCACTTTTGTGACCAAATTGAAAGTTTTTCGAAACTTCATGCTCAGCTCCCTTCTTCTGATGATTACAACAAACTTGGCTAAAAGCCACCAGCAACATTCACACTACTTGTAAATGCTGTGCTCCTTTGAAATTTCCTCCCCCAGAATAATTAGTACATCACCTTTAAATTCAGCCTCACAGGAAGTCTCAGGACATGGGCAAAGTGCAGACAACTTCTTTAGATTCTAATAGAGTCCTCTCAAGTCCAGGCTTTACTGTCTTATTAGCAGTCTGGTCATCTGAACTGCCACCAGGATTGCCTGTTAAGCTCTGATCACAACATTCCAAAGCTTTCCCAGCCTGCATCTTTAAGCATCTCAAAATTCCTCCTAGAAACTCCAGAATGATTCAAAAGCTCCTGAAACACTTGGTCAGGTTAGTCACAGCAACACCTCCATTGACCCCTTAATTTCTGTTTTCGCCAGCTTTTTCATCACTGTGGCCAAAAGACCTGACAAGAACAATTTTGGAGGAGGAAAGTTTATTTGGGGCTGATGGCTGACTCCATTGCTCTGAGCCTGAGGTGAGGCAGAACCTCATGGCAGAAGGGTGTGGTGGAGGAAAGCAGCTCAGGAAAGGCAACCAGGAAGCAGAGCTCCACTTATTAGGGACAAAGTATACACCCCAAAGGCGTGTCTCAGGTACCCACCTCCTCTAGCCATACCCCACTTGCCGACAGCCACCACACAGATAATCCCTATCAGGGGATTAATGCACTGATTATTTTCAGGCTTTCATAACCAATCATTTCACCTCTGAACTTTCTTTCATTGTCTCACACGTGAGCTTTGGGGGACACCTCACATCCAAACCATATCAAAGTTTAAAGGAGAGAACTGAGTTGTTTACATATTTTTAATTTTTGCCCCTCTGTGCATATCTGGGTAGAGCTGGGAACAATTGTCAGCTTCCTACTGATGTGAACAGTAGAGCCATCGCACTGTGATCCCTGTGCCTGTTTGACCTCCACTCCACAGCTGCTGCTCATTCTAATCTGTGGTATGCCCGCCTCGGGGAAAGATGTCTGGCCCCCAGGGCCTTTGCAGGACTTGTTTTCTGCTTGCTAATGTAGATTTTCTTCTCATCCGAACATGGGCAGCAGGCTCTGGGACAGTGTTGAAATGAGGAGGACTGCACTATCTACCTGCTCTCATGCAGGAAGGGCAGTGTCATTGAGCTATGTGAGAGAACCAGGCCCCCAGAATCCAGGTCATTGTGCAGAGTCGCATGTTTACCAGGCTGATGCATCTAGCTGAGTTCAGCTGTGGGCAGCCATCATAGAGGCTTCTTGCCCACAAAGATCTTACCAGAGTGCTGTTGAAACCAAATTCAGAGTGAGGGGAGGCTGCAGAACCTGGTGGTCATTTCTTCACAATGCAGTTTGGAGAGCATCTTAGAGTAGACATTGCCTGTGCTGCTGACAAGCTGGTGAGGAGAGCTCCTGCAGCCTGGACTTGCAGCCATCTCTTCTGACCTTGCCTCCTGACCTAATCTTCTGAGTCTCCATTTGCTAATCTATCTTGCAGGGGTCATTGTGAAGACGTGGACTCACATCATGGCAGGCTGATGTGTGGCTTTTCTGGTGCCAATCTCATGGTGTTAGTCATTGTCTTCCAAGCACTGTGCACACAGAACTCTTAGTGTCCTATGTGGCCTTGACAACAGGTTGGAGGCTTTCTCCAGCTACACTAGATTTCTGGAAACAAAGTGTCTTCCCTGGTTCTTCAGTGTATTCCAAATGCCAAGCACCCAATAGAATTCCCTTAGTGCCTTTTTTCTGGAGTGGAAGGAACCTGCTCTTAGAGTCTTTTTACATTCTGCAGCTTCTAGGGTACTATGTGTTGCTCTGTAATGAGAAAACTGCCTTTGGCCCATTGCAGGCCAGAGAAGAATCACCCACAGGGTGCAGTCTTCTAGGGGACAGTCACACCCACACAGCCAGCCACAGATAGTGCACTTCTCTCTCCCTCTGTATGCAGGAGCAGATCCACCGCTTAAACACAAGTCACTTGCCTTCGGTGACCCTCTAGCACCCTCACTCTGCTTAAGGACACTTGTCCTCCAGTCGTGCCCCTCCCCTGTCTCAGCCTCCCACTCTGGTTTTTCATCTCACCAGCTGTAGCCCCTCATTGTATGTAACCCTCTCTGAACAAACTACTGTCTTCCCAATTTACTATCTGTTGTTGTCCCAGATTAGTAATCCCATGACTCCCATGGGACCACCTAGACCCTTCAGATAGGCTGTCACCTGCAAAAGGAGCCACACCCTCCTACTTCACTTGTACCAGCCTCAGCAACTGCAGCTCGCCATTACCCAAGGCCACTGAGATTAGCGAGTCACCTAGTCCATCTCCCCCTACTCCTGCCTTCCAGTCTCCCAGCTTTTTTTCCTTCTGTACTGAAGGTGACCTGCTAGACAGCTCTGCCTGTATTTCTTATATTTTCCTACTGTTCTCCCCACCCTTCACCTGCCAACCTGCTCCTCCCATAGTTTTGCCATGGCAGGTCATGCCAGCTCTTATCTACCAGCATCTGACCGTTGCTCACCCCTTTTCTGCTTCCACATTTGTGCAGTCACTTCCCACCTGGATTATTTTGTTAGCCTCCTACTCAGTCTCTCCTGTTCCTTTCCTGCTGTTTACATCACAGCAGCCCAAGTTTCCCTGTTAAAGCTAGGTGAATAAGGTCATCCTCTGCTCAAAGCTCTTGAATAGGCATCACAGCAGGGTGATAGCTGGTTTCATACCATGGCCACCTCAGCCTGCAGCTCTCACCCTCTCAGACCTTACCACATGGCCTCTGTAGCTGCCTCTCACACCATGGGCTGAGGTTTCCCCCTGGGAAGCACTAGCTCTGCTAGCCAGATGTTCATGTGTAGGAACAGAAATCACAAATGAGCAAAAGAGGACCAGAGGCCACTGATCATCCCTTCCAAGATAAAAACCATGATTGTTTGCCATTTCATGTGCCCATGACTGCATGCTTGGCAGGCCCCAGTCCATATGAGGCTCCCCTGCCTTCTTTTCTGTTCTGTTCATGCTGACAGCTTTGTCATCTCTGTTGCATAACAATATGGTGTGGATTTTAATATCATTAAGTTAATTACACAAAGCAGTTTCTGGGCCATCTAGAATGTCAATAGGGTAGGTGGATACGTCATGAAGTATGTAGCCAGTCCACATGTCCCTGTAAACGGCCCTGCCCTAGTCTCCTTGTTGCTGAATCTTTGCATCTGTCTTCAGTCATTTATAAAGAATAATGTCCTGGCCGGGTGCAGTGGCACACGCCTGTAATCCCACCAGCTTGGGAGGCGAAGGCAGGAGGATTGCGAGTTCAAAGCCAACCTCAGCAACAGCGAGGCACTAAGCAGCTGAGTAAAACCCTGTCTCTAAGTGAAATACAAAATAGGGCTGGGGATGTGGCTCAGTGGTCAAGTGCCCCTGAGTTCAATCCCTGGTACCAAAATAGGGAAAAAAAAAATGTCCTGGAGAGCTCGTTTGGAGGTTCTAGCAGGGGGGCACAGCTACTTGTATACCCTTGACCCAAGACTGTCCTCCTCTATCGGGGAAGGTCGTCCTTTTTGGCCAAACACACAGTATCAGGCCCTCCTGACAAACATGCAACCGCAAAGGAGGAGGGAACACTGGCTTAGCCAGATCAGCTGAATCAACCCCGTCAATCAATGGGACTACAGATGTCGCAGACAGATCGCCTTCACGTCCGAATTTTACCTTTTGGATCAAAGATTGGGATTTTTAAGTTGATGATTTGTGATACCCTTCAAAAAGCCATATTGATTTTCCTTGGTAACAGTGGAACAGGTGGTACTGAATGTACTCAACCTAGCCACGCTTTAAGTAGTATTAAGTAGCGGGCAGTGAAGAAATCTTACTATTGCTGCGGTCTTTACTCATTGCTGACTCTAAAACACTCTCTTGTAATTTTATTTTGCAGGCCAAAACTTTAAGAAAACTGATCCAACAAACATTTAGACAGTTTGCCAACCTTAATAGAGAAGAAAGTATTCTGAAATTCTTTGAGATCCTCTCTCCAGTGTACAGATTTGATAAAGAATGCTTCAAGTGTGCCCTGGGGGTAAGTATGGGACCATGGAGAAATAGGCCAGTTTGATTTCTTCTGCTGTTTCTTTCCTTTTTTGGTGGAGGGAGTTACCACGGATTGAACTGAGGGACTTGACCACTGAGCTACATCCCCAGCCCTATCTATTTATATTTAGAGATAGATTCTCACTGAGTTGCTTAGTGCCTTGCTTTGACTTGTGATTTTCCCGCCTCAGCCTCCCAAGCCGCTGGGATTGCCAGGCATGCACAACCATGCCCAGCTTCTTCTGCTTTTTCTTATCTATGTGTATTTAAATTTCAGATTCAAAGAACTAATTTGTGACTTTTTTTTTAATGAGAATACTATTTTGTCACTTCATAGTGGGGAAAATGAAAAAAATAATGTGAGAATGAAGTTGTCTGACTGTGTTCATAATTAGGTGTTTTTATTCCAACCTGCAATTTGTTCTCCAAGGCCTGGTTTGCCTATTCAGATCATGTCGTCAAAGAAAATACTGGTTTCTGGCTTGCTGGAAGGGCCACACTGTGTCCCTCTCTAGGTTCAGGAGGCCCAGGAGCAGTGAAGTAATATTTTCTCTAATTTTTTTTTTTTTAAGATAGGTTAATTGCAAACCAAGCCAAACAGCCCCCTCCTTTAATATATCCATGACTCTTGATCTAAAATCTTTCTTTTTCTTCCCATTCCTCTGTCCTCACCTATTTGACCTTCAAAAGTCAAGCTGGATTATTTCAGTGGAACTGGCAATCGGCCCCGAAGAAGGGATCAGTTACCTAACAGACAAGGGCTGCAATGTAAGTCTGCTCCTGTGACGCCTCTCAAACAAGACTGTAGGCAGAAAGGAGTCAGGGTAATGAGATGGAGTGCTGCTCTGCAAAGGCAGCACCCTGCATCAGGCCTTGCCATTGAGTGGTACCTCTTGCTCAAGCAGGCGAAGACAAGAGAAATCCTAGACCCCTGTTGAGATTCTTCAGAATTCTTTAGTTTTGGAAGGAAATGAATCATACAAGTTTCACGTATGTTAGAATTTGATAGGGCTGTTCCAGTTTATCTGGAGAGGTATTGAGTTTTGATGTTTGTGTGTTTTGCTGGGGATTTAACCTGGGTCCTAATGGTTCAATAGTGCACTTGTCTGGATATGTGAAATACTTTGGACAGCATTATTGTCAGGTGCACCAGAAGCAATCCATAGCAGTATGTCGGGAGAGTGGTAGGGAAGAGCCCTGAGGGAGAGAATGTCAGAGTGAGAAGGAGAAACAGCAGACTGAAAAAAAGTAAGGAAAAGTATTCCAGTGTGTCATTTCCATACCCTGAATTTCTTACTGTGCTTGTGAATTTAAAAAGAAAAAAAAAAATTGAGATAGCAGCACTCAAAACTCATGGGCCACACCAGGTTACTAATGTTTGTATCTCCACCTCAGAGGAGTCTCAGATCTCCTTTTATATGTGCACGGTGCATTGGTTATGAATGGAGACTGACACAGACACACTGTAGACACTCCTAACCCTGGCAATGCCCTTTCTGCAACAGTGACCCCTCTTAGTAAAATTTCAAATACAGTGTAGTGTACCATTCCTGGGACACACATGAGGTATGTTCCTGGGCAGCTCAGTGCAGTGAATACGGCCTCCCACTCTAGGACCTGGGAAAGCCATGTTTGGTGACCTTTGGCAGCCCTGGTCATCATTTACATGCCTTAGGTTCTGGTCCACTAGAAGCCACTCACTCCCTGGAATGGTTTTACCCCAGCGAGTCTGGAGCAGATTTCAGCTGAGGAGATTATGGTGGGGAATTAGATCAGAGAGGCAGGGAGGGGGTCATGTCACGTAGAGTGTCTGATCACAGAAGTCATCCTATATGTCACGTGAGTTATGGCACTTGGGTTATAGCTTTTAAATTAGGGAAATATGATCTGATTTACATTTTTACTCATTTTTTAATTTTTATTTTTTGAGGTGCTGGTGACTGAATCTAGGGACTTGCCCAGTGGATGAGCTGCATCCCTGGCCCTTTTTATTTTTTACTTTTTACTTTGAGACAGAGACTTAATTGCTGAGGCTGGCCTTGAACTTGTGATCCTCCTGCCTCTGCCTCCCGAGTAGCTGGGATCACTGTTGCACACCACTGTATAAGGCTCTGATTTTTACATTTTTGAAGTATCTCCCTGATTTCCAGGTTGGGGCAGGCATGGGTGAAGGGAGCCAGTAAGGAAACCATAGCACAGTGTGAGATAGTGGGCTGGAGAGTGGGGGCCTAGAGGGACGCAATGTATACACACACATGTTGCATCCCTGAAAACAGATCAGGAAGATGCTTTTCGAGGGAGGGCATTCAGTTTGAGCTCCTTACTGAAGAGCAGCTTCTGCTCAAGCCCTTGGTACCCTCCATGATACCTTGGGTATGCTAAGGAACTGGCCATAGCTAGGCCAGTCATTTAGGAATCACCATGCACAATGACTGTAGTCATTAAGTGCTAGGAGTTCAGGAGACACTGTGTATGTCTTGTCTTTCCAAGAAGAAAACCTGGACCATAGTCACTTCTGACTGTCCTGGAGTCTAGTCAGGGCAGGATGGGATTTTGGGATACCGCTGTCTCCTGGAGCCCTTTGCTTGCCTGCAATCTCCCTGCCCCAGCACACCGCAGAACTTCTAGTGCCTCAGAGCCTCATTCCAGCCAGTTTGCAGATGCCCATCTGGGCTGGCCAGTGGATCAAAGCAGGGGCTGCTCCTGCTTCCTTCTCTCCTGTGGGAGATGTGCTCTCCCCTCACCAGCTCATTCGTGTGGATATCCTCAGGACAGTAAAAAGGACAGACATGCCCCGAATGTAAATTGCAGGAGACAGCTCTTTGACTGCCCGCTGCTGTGCAGGCTCTGTGGAGGGTCAGCGCTCCCCAGCCTCCAGACTGGGGAGAGGCTTCAGAGGAAGGAGCTAGCAGTTGGGGCCACAGAATTTGACAGAATATCCAACAGAACTGGTGAAGAGAGTGTTTTGTGCTTTCCTTTCCAAAGCCCACACATCTGGCTGACTTCAACCAAGTGCAGACCATTCAGTATTCCAACAGTGAAGACAAAGACAGAAAAGGAATGCTACAGCTCAAAATCGCAGGTGCACCCGAGGTAAGGGACCCTGGCACTCACTGGGAGGGAGAGCAAAGCATCCTACCGGTTTAGAAATAATGTGTTTTAGGATAAGGGTGAAATTTTCATGGATCATCAGAGTCACAACTTTCTCATTTTTATAAGGGTTGCTTTTCAATTAATAATTATCCCCAAGGGACAGGAGACCAATTTTAAGTTAATCAAGAACAGTGTTTTGAAGATGATTTAAAGATGATCACAAAGCATCAAGGAAATCAAGTTCTTGGAATTATGTCTTTGTGTCTACTCTGTGAACATATGTTGTGTGTGATATGCTGTGGGTACTAACAGGATAATAGCTGCAGTGGCTCATGTTGATGAGGCTTGTGATGGTGTCACAACCAAGCAAAGTAGGTACCTTTATTTTGGTGAACACCATAGATGAAGAAGCTGAGGCACAGCCTGGCCACAGTCCTAGTTTTGACAGGGATGTATTCATACTGCAGCAGGTAAACCCATGCCCCTTACTCTAAATCACCATGTTGCAGTGTATTAAAAGCAAGCAGTGTCACCAGAAATAGTCTTCAGTTGAGCATGTAGCATGACCCTCTGAAAAATGGGCTAAGCGCTCTCATGTGGATGGTCGAGTGAAGACCTGGGCCTCCCCTGCTCACTTCATTGCTCTTCCACTCTAAGGTGTTTTGAGTTGCACGCAATGTAGTTTATTGATATCAGGATTAACAAATACTCCCATAGAATTCTGAAAACTTGTTGCAAACTGCAGTTTCCTGAAGCCTGAACTCCAGCATCATTTTCGAGCCGTTCCTTCTTGTCCCCTAGTAACGTTCAGGGTGATGGCTTGATGGGGGCACATCATATGGTAGGAGACGTGAGTGCTCAACAAATTAGGATGTTCTTGGATTTGAAAATGAAATGCAGCTTTTATTTTGACCTAGAGGACAATTAAAGATGGGTCTTAGGAAATTCATCAAATAGAACATTTGAGTAAGAGTAATTTTTATATGTTTGGGCAGAGCACTCTATGTATGCTAAAAACAGTGGAATTTTACTAACTTTGTTTAATATTAGAAAAATTGTGATGGACAGTAATAAAAATTGACACTAGTCAATTTTTATTACTGTTTCACTTCTAAAACAAGTTTAGAAGTGAAAACTTCTAAACTTTAGTTTCACTTCTAAAACAAGTTTTACTTCAGCTCACCGATTATCTAAATTCTTCCCCAATCAGAGTGTGCTAGGGGAGCCAGACAGAAGAAAATATTTTCCCACCTTTTTTCTCCATTTTGTGAGCTTCAGTTGAAGTGATTGTCCTCTTTTCCCCTGGCATGGTCTTGTGTCTCACATCCAACGAATGGTGTCCTTAACTAGCAGCCTACCTGTCGCAGTCCAGTCTGGGGACAGCCTTATTTCACCACCACCACCCCCCGCCGGGCCCATGTTGTGGAGGTCTGATGTCAGTGCAGCTGTCTCTCTGGTTGCTGGAAGAACAATAGTGTCTCTTTCTTGGTTTTTCTCCTATTCAGCCTCTGACAGTGACAGCCCCATCCCTGAGCATCGCCGAGAACATGGCGGACCTAATAGACGGGTACTGCCGGCTGGTGAGCGGAGCCACGCAGTCCTTCATCATCAGACCTCAGAGAGGTGAGGCTCTGCTTCTATCCTGGCCCCTCTTTCCTCCTGAGCAGTTGGAGGGGCTCCCTTGGCTGTAATAGGAATTCTGTGATGCTGTAATAGGAAAGCCAGACGGATGCATAAGGTGCCATAATCTGATGCTTGCTTCTCTGGGTAGGTGATCTGGTGCTGGACCCAAGTGCAGTGTAAACACAGCTTGGCTTGCACTCGTAGGCCTCTGTTTGCACAACCCACTTAGAGTGTTTTCTAAGTTACTATGAGTACTTTTTATGTAAAATTTCGAGATTTTTTATTCTGTTTTTAAAAAGCATCCCTTTTAACTCATTAAATAAAGTTTATTTCTTGCTTTTTCTAAAGTACTTCAAAAGCTTAGAATAGTTGAACAAAATAAATTCCAAATCATGATGTGAAATCAAATATTAGATAGAATAAACAACTAGAAAGGAGTCTGTCCTCTCGGAAGTGCCACAGGGATTTTGCAAACAAAGCATACTCCAGAGAATCTGGAGTTCTGAAATAATCAAATGAAAATATTCCCAGTAGGACACTAGCGTTGCATCAATTGGGGAGCCTGGGCCTTGGCGTTGCGTCAGCTTGTGGGTCTTGTTGCGAGTCCGCAGCACTGCTGTCTGTCAGTGCCTGGCTCCAGGAAGCCCGACAGCCAACCTGCCTGCATGGTGCGGGAGGTTGGTGACTTCCTGCTAGAAGAGCAGGCTTGCACAGAAGCTCAGTCACATTCTCCAGTCCTGTTGGGTCTTGATGTACTGGATTAGCCTTGACTTTGAGACCACTCCTGTAAAAGAGGGAAGGTGACACCTTGTAGAGTTGTTAGGTGGGTCCCACATGTTAACATAAAGTGGCTTGCAGCAGGGTAGATGGGCACTCTGCAGAATTTGCCCTGATGGCCAACACCCCTTCCAGCAGTCACTCAGTGACCAGGATGGCTAGAAAGAATCCCAAGGCCTATGTGGTGTGTCCAACAAGCTGGATTGAGTTAAATAGTGACCAGAGTGGAGGGACACACAAGCAAAGCAAATGACAAAGACTGGCTTCTGAGATGGAACCCAGAGACCCCCACCTGCCCTGGAGGAGAACTTCTGGCCAGAGTACCGTAGGCACAATGGGCCTTTCAAATTGGAGTCACTTTAGACCACAGGGGACACTGTTGTGCTCTGGAGCAAGAGCTGAGACCACAGGTACACTACACTGAGCTCCATCTGCATAAGGCCTGGATATGGTGCACCTAGCAGAGGCTCTTCCCATGAAGAGCACACCAGGGGAACCTGTCTATGTGTTCTTCTAAAACGTGTATGTTTGTTGAAGTTTTCTTTATCTAAAATGTAGTAATGAAGTTGCTTTCAGAAATATTGGAAGCGCCCTTCAGTTAAAACATTTGCAGCCACAAGTGTTTGATTTTTCACTTTGTGCTTTAAATAGGAGTACATACCTTGAAAATATTTAAATATCTTGGGCGAATACTTCAGAAAGTGCTTTGGAGCAAATGTTAGTATATCATATATCTCCTTTTTTAGTAAATAATTTTCTAATTTCAGCTTAACTTACCAAAATGTCTCTTATCACTGTTTTGTGAGTATATTTAATACATGGTAACAACATTCAAACAGTAGCCACTGATCCACTCCACATTTAATGCATCAGCATCTTCTCATGCCTGTTGCACAGTTAACTAATGTCTTGGTCCTTAAGGGAGAAGGCTCTGCTGGGGATCATGAGATGAGGTACTTTAAGAATTTCATTCACAGGCAAGAACACAAAGGAAAGTGCTCTGCATGGAGAGCTGGGTGTTGGCTGCTGCTGGTCCTTTAGGATAGATTATTAACTTTCTTTTAGGATAGATTTTTCAGCTTGAGTGTTTCTCATCTTATTCTGAATCCCAGCATATTTATCTATTACACGACTGTAATTTTTGTGGTGCCAAATTCAGGGTGTTGGCCTGCTAGGCAGACATGCAACCACTGAGCTATAACCCAACCTTATACATAACAATTTAATCATAAGCCCCGGAGGCAAAGCCATATTTATTGCCTACTTGATATAATATTGAGGTCAAGGATGGTAGTCAAAAATATATGTGGGAAAGCCACGTGTGCATTTAAAAATTTTTTTTCTAGTTGTACATAGACATGATCTCTCTCTCTCTCTCTCTCTCTCTCTCTCTCCCTCTCTCTCTCTCCCTCCCAGTGCCTCAAGCATTCGAGGCAAGCGCTCAACCACTGAGCTACAAACCAGCCCCACATGTGCATTTTTTAATTGAGATTTGTTCCCCCAGAACCATGGAAAGGGTGGGCAGGTGCGAGGGTAAGATGGGAGGGTCTCATGGAAGTGCACTTTGGGGGCAGAAGCTCTGGCATGTGGTGTCTTTCACAGCCAGGAGAGAAGGTCTTGAGTGTCTCCCCGTGACGGATGATGAATGTGTTGGGGTGCCTTGGGTCTGCCCTGATCTGACTGTGATCCCGTGCATACATGTACTGAGGCATCCTGTAGTACTTATGACATACAGGTTTTTATCAGTTAAAATACATTCTAAGTTTTAAAATAAAAGAAAAGTTCAAATAACATTGTGTTTTTCAAATCTGTTACAATGTTTTTCTGGCAATACACATTCAACAAAAATGACATTCTGGTCTGTCTTTAGATTACAAACTGCTTAAGAGTGGCAGAGTGTACAGATGCAGGTGCATAACAGAGCATAGCAGTGAGAACTGGCCAGTAAACTCTGCGTGTGATCTCTGGGCATGCTCATGTGTACTTTGTGTATTGATCTACCATCATTATTTTGGATTTATAGTGCTCTTAAAGGTGATGTTTATTGGTAGAAAACATAATAAAAGCCACAAGCTGGACAAAGATGTCCTGCCAGGCTCCACAAGCATCAATATGTGGCCTTTCCCTGACTGCAGGGCATCAGCTGACCTATCCTGGGCCTGTAGGAATGTTCAGAATCAGTTCTTCCCCTTGGAAGAAAGAATTGTGAAGTTTAAACTTGCTCTCTGAGGTTTCCTGCAAAAACCGCAGCAAGCGCTGCTCTTTGCCAGAGAGGGTGTGAACTACTGCATGCAATTAAAACCCAGAAGGTGGAAGAGAAGTGATAGGTGTCACTACATAATTAAAATACGCCTTTTCATAAAAGACGAACACTCTAAAGCTATGACACGGAAAGGGAAAATGTTTGTGAGGCATACAATAAAGAATTAAAACTCTTTATTTTTCACATGTTCTTCCAGCTTATTAATAAAAAGCAGTCCAACGTAAAAAGAATGTATGTGCAGATGTCCGGTAAACATGGACCCAAACAGGGACATGTGTCATTTTGCATTTATTAGGTTGTTTTTAAAAACAGAAGCTATTACCTGGCGGGGTGGCAAATGACTTTAATCTCAGCTGTTCAGGAGACTGAGACATGGAGGATCGAGAGTTCAAAGCCAGCCTCAGCAACAGTGAGGCACTAAGCAACTCAGTGAGACCCTGTGTCTAAATGAAATATAAAATAAGGCTGGGGATGTAGCTCAGGGGTTGAGTGCCCCTGAGTTTAATCCCTGGCACCCCCTCAAAAAAAATAACCAGCAGCATCAGCCACTGTGCCAAGATTTGGAAGCATGCTGCCATGTACTTGGTGCCATTGGTGCAGCATTGCCAGCAGGCACTAGGAGGGCTTGCTGCTGGTTCCACAGTAGCACTGCCTCAGGGATAATCACTGTTACACTGTTCCTGACAGTAGAAGCTAGAAGCAGAGTGGGAATCAGTAAACAATATGCCCACACCAGGGTATGTTTTAAGTGCCTATGGCATAAGGAAGGCATGAGAGCCTAAGTAGCCTGCTGCTTCTGGGGACCCAGACTTCAGCTTTCCCACGTTCTTCACTGGGTAAGCTTCACCTTTTTAGATTTCTTACAGCAAATCTTTATTAAATGCTTGAAGACCAGTAGATAAAATCTTTTATTCAGAAATTGAACTGTAAAGTCCTTCAACTCAAGCAAAATGTAAGGTGATGCAAAGATTCTTAAAAGAGTATATTCAGAGTAGTAAGACCCATCCTGATAGATGCAAGGAACTGTGTTGGATCATGTACCAGTCCAGTGGGTCTTAAGGAGTGCTGAACCCTAATTCCCAGACAGAGTGCTCAATGGGTATGCAGGTCGTCTCCTGATGCTCTGGTGGGGTGTCTGCTGCCTTCTCCTCACTTCTTCAAGTTTGCTGTCAGTACTCTCCTGTTGTTCACCTTGTCACAGCGAGCTTCTGCCCATGCCCAGCTACTTTGGAATCTCTATTATTTCACAAGTGGAATGATTGATTTGCTCTCAGAGGAAGTAGAAATTTCATAGAGCTCAAAAAATTTAAAAGCTGAATCTAAACATCACACCCCTGTGTCATTGGATAGGCTATCTTGCTAAGTGATGGTGTTGAGTGTGGTGTAGTGGTCGTGCCCGGGGATAGTGAGCTCACCATGGGCTTCCCCACTCTGATCTGCGGTCTTTGGGGGCATGCTGGCTGGCTGTCCAGCTCAGCAGGCGGTGCTGCTGGCACTGAGCTGTATGGTTCTGCCGTGGGTCCTGTTCTTGCCCTGTTACCCAGGTCTTGCAGTGCCCCTGAAAGAGACAGTCAGTCGGGAGGGCCCAGGTTGACTTATGTCTTCCTTTCTTGAGCAGTGGCCTGAGAGCCGCCTCAGTGCCAGGTGTTGTGCACCAGTCAGGAATGTAGCAGCAGACTAAAGCAGGCCCTGCATGCCTGGGACATTCATAGAGACATGAATAGCATGAATAAACTGTTAAGAGAAAGTAAGTAACACAGTACAATGTATCAAATGGTGATCAGCAGAACTGAGAAAAATAAAAGTTGGATTTGAAGAGGCGAAAACCAGGAAGGACTCCCAGAAGGAGGCTGGAGGAGAGTACATGATCCCCTGCGTGAGCCAGTTACTGCACCCCAAAGGAAGAGGTGTCCTGCTCTGCACAGAGATGCCCACTCTGAGCACCATGGCAGGTGGCTGCATGGCACACTCTCTGACCAGGGGGTCCTCCCCGTGCCTCTGCTTCTCGGGTGCAGGAACCCTCTGGCATTTACACTCACCTGAGCCTTGTTTCCCTGGTGTTTCACCAGGCTGCCTACACGGGTTTTGGAGCTGTTACCGTTGAATAGTTTTATCAAAATGCAGAATGTTTGGATCTTTGGCAAAGAAGTTTGATTTTGATTTTAGAAATCTTTTATCAATATTTCACCTTAGTTCTTTATTATGATTCAGCAAGCCTCTTGAACAGGATGCACATAACAGTCTGTGATTATGGTAGGTATTTGGACAGCTAAGACACAGTGTACTGACTTGTTTAAAGGAGTACTGCTAAATCCCAGGAGGAGGCTTACCGTTCTCCCTGGCTTCTAAGTATAAACTCTTCAAAAGGAATGAAAGCAACCTCATATCTCTCTTTTCTTTTTTTTTCCCAGAAGGTGAACGGGCATTGCCATCAATACCCAAGTAAGTGCTGCTCTGTGTGCCTTGTTCAATGTCGGGAGAGCCTTAAGGAATTTGCTATACCGTGTCCCCCACAGCATGAAATTCCCACATCTCTCCATCCCATCATGAACCAGATCCATTGTCTATTTTTTTTAATATTTATTTTTTAGTTTTAGGTGGACATAATATCTTTATTTTATTTGTATGTGGTGCTGAGGATCGAACCCAGTGTCTCACACGTGCTAAGTGCTCTACCACTTGAGCCACAACCCCCAGCCCTCATTGCCAATTTTAATAGGAATCCAGGTTTAATGAAAATGTTGAAGTTATTTTTCCCTTGTTTGAGGTTTAATTAAGGAGCTAAAGAATATCATGATGATAATGCAAGATGGGGTGTTGTTAAACTTTCTTCACATTCTTATCACAAACCTTACGAGAACCTGAAAAGAGGTGTGTTTCTGCTATTCTACAAGTAGGGAAATTAAATGTCAATAGTTTATGCTAATATTTTTACTTTTTAATTTCACAAATTTCATAATAGGTGTGTTGGTCTTTAAAATTAAAGAAATCAAATAGTAATGCTGAAAGAACCCATCTAATTAGCTCTATATTTGCAGCCACTGTGCTAGGAACTGGGGGCCCAGATGGGAGAGTTAGATTGCAGCGACTCTCATGCAGGTGGAAACTAGGAGGTGCCTAGTATTCTTCCTGTTCCTACCTACACAGGCCTTCTGTTGTCACTTGCTCCAGTTGCCCTTCTAGATGTATCAGACCCACTGCCCCTAGTGTTGGGGTTGTTTTCCCTGTCTTCCTCTACAGTGGACCCTGTCGGGGATGCCATGACAACCCAGGCCCAGCGGCTCTGTGGAAGGACACATAGAACTCAGCCTGTGGTCAAATACCAAAGGGGCAAAGTCCAAGGAAGGCACGGAGCAGGCAGCCAAGAGTCTCTCTAGGGGGCACGCAGGACGCACTCCCCCAGCATGTCCCCCAGACTCGGTGCCTTGAGTTTTTATGGGGGCTGGTGACGTCCCATGTACTACAAGACAGACTCCCACAAGAAAAGCAGGAGCTTGACATAAACTATATTGTTTGAGTAAAAAGTTTGGGCCCAACGAACCAACCTCTCAAGACAATGGGAACTCTCCCAGAACCCACATTCCCAGACCCCAACCAAGGCCAGCTATGCAAGCAGGCCAATCTTAGGCCCTCTGTGTCTACTCATGTCTGCATACCTCCTGCAACCCTTCCTACCCAGTTCTGTCACCCTTCTGTCCTGCTCTACCCTGCAGCACCAGGCACAGCCCTAATTCAAGCTCTCACCTGGCTTGCCACCACTCTTCAGACAACTTCCTGTGTCCCGTCTTGCAGAGCCTGCCCCGATCCACTTCCTGCTGACTCTTCAGCCCTGGTTTTCACCACACCTCACTGCATTCAGCTCTGTTGGACTTTTTCAGTTGCTAAAGCAAACTCCATTTTTTCCACACAAGCCTTTGACAGTGTTTTTCTCCTACATTATACACTCTGACTCCACCCTCTGCCTAAGTCCTGCTCATCTTTCAGGACTGTTCCTACATCACTTCCTCTAGAAAACTGGGCCCTCAAGCAAGAGGGCATTCTGGTAGCATTTTTCCTGTGAATTTCCCTATAAAGCTTCTTTCTTACCCACATTTTGCACTGGCAGTCAGCTCTTAACACCAGGGTCCTATGGAATTGCAGTTCTGACCTTGACAAGAATCTAGCCTGGAGAGTTCACTATAGCCATTGGTGGTGTTGTGAGGTGAAGTGGCTCTCCTCTGGCTTTGAGGAAGAGTGCTTCACAGAGTCTTCACTGTTGACAGATGAGGAGGATTCCCACCAGGCAGGGAGGGAATGCTTGCTTGCTGTCTTCACTCCTTTTCCTTGTCAGAAAGTTAAGGAATGACTTTGAGGTTTAAAACATGGAAATCATAAACACAGACATAATAGTGACAAAGAAGGCAGTAGAAATGGAAATAAACACTAGAGAAACAGAATTAATGAAGGAGTCATCTGAAAAGTGGAGTTTGCATAAATCCCAGAGCTGTAGGGCACTTAGCGCCACTGCTGAGAGAGGTAGCAGGATGCTAGCGAGGCACAGACTGGGGTGCTATGTCCGTAAGGTGAGGATCCCCTCAGGCCCAGGGATGCAGTTCAGTGTGACTGCCATAGGCACAAGGTCATCTGGAGTTAGAGGGAATGATGAAGTAATCAAAGTTTTTAATGATATAAAGCAGTAACAAAAGACAAATAATTATAGAGTAGGCAAAGCAGATTTGGTGGGTGATGTTGGTGAATACTATAGAGGACCCCTACACATGATTACTGACATGCTTTGTAGAATACCACATACAAAACAAAAGAGTATAAAAATGAAGACCTAGTGTATATATTCTGGGTTTCTGAAAGTGCACACTTTAAAAAACTATGATTGGGCTGGGGTTGTGGCTTGACAGTACAGCGCTCTCCTAGCATATCTGAAGCCCTGGGTTTGATCCTCAGCACCACATAAAAATTAAAAAAAGGTATTGTTCAAACTACAACTAAAAATAAATATTTTAAAAAATATGATTTATGGGCTGGGTTGTGGCTCACTGGTAGCATGCATGCGGCACTGGGTTCAATCCCCAGCGCCACATAAAAAATAATACATAAAAAATAAGGTAAAATAAAAGTATTATGTCCATCTACAACTAAAATAAAATTAAAAAGAAAGAAGCCTATTTCTTTTAAAAAAATATTATTTATGCTAGCTGTAAAGATACTGTTAAAAGCAGATATACAGGGGCTGGGGATGTGGCTCAAGCGGTAGCGCGCTCGCCTGGCGTGCGTGCGGCCCTGGTTCGATCCTCAGCACCACATACCAACAAAGATGTTGTGTCCGCCGAGAACTAAAAAATAAATATTAAAATCTCTCTCTCTCTCTTTCTCTCTCTCTCTCTCTCTCTCTCTCTCCCTCCCCCTCCCCCCCTCCCCCCTCTCTCTCTTTAAAAAAAAAAAAAGCAGATATACAGCTGAGCACAGTGGTGCACATCTTTAATCCCAGCCATTCAGGAAGCTGAGGCAGGAGGATTACAAATTCAAGGCCAGCCTCAGCAACTTAGCAAGACCCTGTCTCAACATAAAAAATGAAATGGGCTGGGGATGTGACTCAGTGGTAAATTGTCCCTGGGTTCAATCCCCAGTGTCAAAACAAAAAAACTATTATACAGGTTATTAAACACAAGTGGCAAGTAAATGGCTTGGATGATAGATATTAGGGACCATTCAACACTTGGAAAGAAATTGGGAGGCAATGCAGTAATTGCACTTGAAGAAAGACCATTGCATAAAATGATTGTCAAGTGCCATGCAGATCTTAAGGGGTTTTCATTTCTCCCATTCTGTCCATTGGGATTGCAAGAGGTATCCCCCCATGCCCTCTTTCCACTGGGCCATTCTAACACAGTGAATGAAGGAGATGTTATTCCTTCAAGCCACCTGTCAGTGATTGCCATTTGACATTTTAATAGAGTCACTTTTATATAGAACTCAAGGAGTGCTTCCGGTCTGCTTTTAGCAAGCACTGCCATGGATGTGGCTATTGGTATGAACAGCTGGAGTACTTTGAAGGGTGGCAGAGTGGACAGCTTGAGAGCATTGTCCGCTGGCCTGATGGTGATCTCCTTCAGTATTATGTACAGTGCACTCAACTGCAGTTCTGTGAGGTACTGGAGCACTAGTATGCCTCACCTGCCTGGGCAAACTATCTTTGTGACATGGCAGCACAGTTGTAACATTATACACTAAAGCACTTTTTTAAAAATGAGTTTAATCCCCCAAAGGAATGCCAGTTGAGTTTCATAGGTCCTGTGAGTACTAGGTGCCTTTATCCTCGTGCCTAGTGCTCATGCCCATTTCCTACATGATTCCTAGAGGATGTAGCTGTCATTAATGCCTTTTTGCTTTTGATTGAGCATACACTTGAGTAAGTGTAGGATTTTTATGTTTACTGTATTGAGTCTTGTAGCACTAAAGACATTTTAAATGTCAAGCCTCTGCAGTCAGTCATGGTGGCAGTTTCTGTGTAAGAGAGCCCTAAAGGGAACATTATTTTGCAATCAAATTCCTCACTGTCAAAAAAAAAAAAAAAAGGCCACGTTGCAATAAAAATTGTGGCATGTTTAAAAAAAAAAAAAAGCAAAAAACTGTGATCATGTAGCTGTAACAGAAGAGAAATAGGTGACTCCTTAGCAAAGAACTTCAATATTTATAGTAAAGAAACAAGATTTCAAATAGTTACAATATATTACTCTTTTTCAGTATGTAATAACAGTAGGTATCAGTGAATTTCCTGGCTTTTTTACATGGTATAAATTAATATGGACCAATCATGTTATAGTGTTTCAAAAAAACCTGTTTTCCCACAGTGCTGGGGATGGAACCCAGGGGATTAGGCATGGAAGGCAAGCCTCTGTCACTGATTTACACCCTAGTCCTCAAGTTACATCTTAGAGATCAAAATTCAGTGCCAAATGTGTGACTTTTTTCTCCTAACTTTGTAGCAGTCCTTACAGACTAGTAGTTAAATGCAAACTTCTGTGTAACTCACATTGCATGATATTGCTGGTTTTCAGCCACCATCATGAGTAACTTTCCCAAGAAGTTAAGCATATATTTTTTTAGATATTTCCTTACTTTGTGGTTCTGGGGATGAACCAAGAGTTTTGCACATGATAGGCAAGCACTATGCAACTGAGCCCCAGCCCTGTTGTCTATTTTAATTTCTGATCTTTAAAGCATAAAAGTACTCTCCCCAGGAAGTACTTCAAGTACTAGTATGCAATTTAAAAAGCAAAACAAAACAGCCATCTAAAATCTAATCTCCCTGTGAAGTCTTTCTAATCCAGGTCCATTCTCCGTTGGGTGGGGCCTGTATGCTTTGTCCTGGGAAGATGGAGCTCACTCTTTCCTTGTCTGTTGCAGGTTGGCCAACAGTGAGAAGCAAGGCGTACGGACACATGCGGTCTCTGTGTCAGGTAAGGACCAGGGGAGAGGTCTCTGCAGCAAGCTGCCAGGCAAAGAGCATCGCAGACCTCCCTCCACTTACAGTGTGAAGGCTTCTTCCGGACTAGCTTAGACTAGGGATTTGCATGGTTTTACCAGCTCAGAGGTTTTGTTGTTTTAGATGAGACATATGAAGTACCAGATTACTCTCCGGGCTGTATAAATTCTGGGTTGTTTTTCAGTTTTTTGTGTTAGTCATATTTGGAGTGAAAATTGTTACTTTTGATTTTGCCATCATAATTTATCTTTGCATTTGAGTGGAATTTAAAACTATATACTTTGTACATTTATTTTATTGTCTTTTGAATGTCAAGAAATGTGAAACATTTTTTAGATGGTTTTTGTCTTTCTCAATGAACATACAATGGTGTTTGGATATGGTTCTTTTACATATAGTTAAGATACGGGAATAAGCATTATCTTAACTATTTGCTGGTGTGATGAGTGTGGTGTGCCTTTCTTGTATGTTTTTAAAGTACATGTGTCTTTTTTTCCAATCTGAAAATATGGAAGATAGAGGTGGAGCTGCATATGTGTGTGTCTCATCTATCTTTGAACAAAAATATGAACGTATATGTTCTATTTCTAAAATAGTAGCTTCCTGATAACATTAGTTATTAGTCTCTGGCATACAGGGACTCAATTCCTGTTCAATTTGTTATGAGTTAGTTTTTCCTAAAATTTGGTTTTGCTCTTTTGCCTAGTCGATATTGGATTATTTCTTAGTATCCAACATTAAAGTGTAACTTCTTGTCTTTTGTGGCACACAAGTACCCCACGTGTCCTCTGCAGAATGTGTCTTGTGTCCCTACTCCAGGCAAAGACCCTCGGGCTTCATGGCAGAGGCATTCTCAGTGCTGCCCACTCATTGTCCACATTTGTCTTTCCACAAACCTAGTGCAAGACTCAAGCAGTAACCAAGGTTTCCAGAAGCGGATCTGGGCTGTCCAGCAACACTCAGCCTCATAGTTCACAGTCTGGTGGAGAGGGTGGCCACTAGGTGCCCTAAGCAGACTCCAGAGGCAAGAAGGGCCTGGGGATGTCTGAGGGTGTTCTGCCGAGCAGTCTGTAGAGCCCTTGAGGCCTGTAACACCTCTGAGCCTGAAAAGCAGCTTCCGGGATGAGGCCTAGGGTCTGCTGAATGCCCTGGCTCTGCGCTTGACCATGCACATTCCCTATGATCACTCCTGCTTGAGAGCAAGCTGAGCTCCTATTGGGCTAAGAAGCATGATTCCTGCATCTGTCTTGGGTGATCAACTAGGTCCCACAGAAGCTTCATACCTCATCCTTCAGTTTGACTGATTTCTTCATCAGCTTCCTCCATTCTTCAGGCTGAACCTCAGTTTCTTTTAGCAGCTGGTCATCATCACACCTCTGCACTTTGCATTCTCAGCCACCCTTTTTGGACACACTCCCAGTTTTTATATCCTAATTCAGACACACACGGAAAAGAAAGCCAGCTGACTTGTGAGGTATACTTGCAGGATATACTTTGTTCCAGTCTCTGCTTTATGTTCTATATCTTTTTTCATGGATTAACTCTTGTAGTCCTCACTATGGCCCAAGGAGATAGTTCTTAATATACAGATGAAGAAAACTGAGGCCCAGAGAGGTTAGATAATTTGCTTAAGATTATATAACTAGCAAAAGGTAGAATTAGTACCCAAACTTGGCTCTCTAGTTTCAAACCTTTTCTTAATTTCTTTTGATTCTGCCTTAATACTTTCTTCCTAGGCTACCTTAATAAGGTTATACCTCCTTCTCTGTCACTTCTTTACTACTATGTTAATTTAAATATGCATCACTCCGATCAGAAACAGTGATAATTTAGTGTTCATCAGATGAAGCTCAAGCTTTTTTACTCAGCCCTCAAAGGCCATCTACCTGCCCACAGGCCACCTTCCCCTTCTCTACATTGTTTCTCAGCCACACTAAGTTGGGGTTGTGGTTCCCCTACCCCTATAGCCCCACCAGTTCTGTTCTTCTCATTGCCACAGCAGTCTTTCTAGAGCTAAGATCCTTTGACAAAAGACTGTCCTGGATAATTGCAGAGCCAGCAGAGAAGAATGTCCTCCACAGTCATGATGTGGTTGTTTGTCATTCCACCTGCTGCTTGCTCATGTAGGCAGAATCAGACTAACAAATGATACATTTCTGTTGTCCACAAAGAGTCCAATAGCATCCAACCCACCTGTGCATCACACTTGCCCAAAGCTGAAATTTGACATTTCTTGAAGTATCTTTATTAAACTGACACCTGGAAAACTAGTACTGTTAACAGAGCCCAGGATTATTTCTCTGCCCCCATATGGGCTGGGGTGCTGACATACTGCTGGACCCTGGGATGTTCTGCCTCTGTTCCTGGGCAAGCCTGTTCTGTGTACAGGCCAATGGGATCAGGCTGCAGTCCAGCCAGGCCAGCTGCAAGGTGGTCTACTTTTCTGCCAGACACCACCTCCTCTGGCCGCCAGTACTCCTTTAAGGTGGGGGTTCTGCAAGCTTCTCATTGCCCACTGCACAGCAGCCCACCTGGCAGACAGTGCATGCTGCATGCCGAGCACTGCTGAAGGCATCCCTCTACCCAGAGGGTCTACCTTTGAAATTTGGGAGCTTCTCTGTAAAAATGAGATTAATAGAGGTTTCAGAAATACCCAACAGAATCGTGTTTCCCCAGGCATACTATTCTGAGGGCCTAAAGGACTTTCAAGACAATTAAGTATTAAGTTTTTAGGAAACACATACTTACTGTAAAGCTCTGTTGAAAGCCACGGCCAGGTCAAGATTCTGGTGGAATTTAGGGTGCAACTTAGAGGCCAGCGTCAGTCTGCCATGTGGGATTTATACGTGCGCTCAGAGAGGGAGGCGTGGCCTGCATGGTGGTGGTGCTGGAACACGGTGGGAAGGGGCAAAAAAAGTCCAGGAATACAGATATTTCCAAATTGATGCTCAGAGCTGACTTTGTGATACCACCTCATCATGGCCATGACTCTTGTTAAGTGTTTCCATGGTACACAAGAGGACTGCAGACTGCAGTTTTTCTCTTTCATGTCTCATCATGGAAATGAGCAGAGTGACCTTTCTCACCTGCCAGTAAGAATATTTAGTTTGATTGTCTCTGCCAGCCGTATTGTGCTAAAGTACAAATTTTGTCCTACTAGGGCTGCTTTTTGAGTATTACTGCAAACTTTTTAAAATATTGTAACATCATTTGGCTTGGTTGTTAACCATGCAGCATACTTTTCTTCAGGTATTTCAAATCAGTGACTGGAAATTATTCTTAAATATTAAAGCACTTAAGAGCAGGCCTTACACATTAGGTCTTTGTTCCTTTACTGCTATATGAACACAAGTAGTGCTGAGGTGTATTTGGGGCCCAGCATGTGCTATGCCCAACCGTGCCCAGGCTGGACCTCAGGACTGTCTGCAGCATCTCCTCTCTACAGATGAGGAAATTGCCACTATGGGAGCTTAGATACTTGGTCCAGCTCAGTATTGCTCCTGATAGGAGTAATAGAGCCTTGACTGGGAGGCTCCTTGTCCTTTCATTAGACTCTCTGTTGGTTCATTCCAAAAGCTTGATGTGTGTGGAAAGGAGTAATACTTTCATGCGGGTGATTCATGGTAGTTTTTCCCCCTTAAGCTGTAATAATATAGTACTGACTCTTCTGCTAAAATTCAGAAGTGTGCACTGTGTTTAAATTTGAAAGAGCTACTTGTACCTGGCTTTATACTCTAACTACAATTTTTATAATACTGTTTTCTCTAAGGTAGTCTCTTCTGTTGAATGCTTGATTTAAATGCTGGCTTTTCAGAAGTTGAATGTGAAAACAAACAAGCAAACCTTGCCCTAATTTCAGAGTATTCTTTCCTAGTAGATAAGAAGTTTATTTTGAAAATCATATGCTTTATGACATGATCAAAATGCTACCAGTAGCTTTTCTGGGCACAAAGTGGTAGGTATTAGACATGACTCGAGTGTTTCTAGTGCTTGGAATGTACTGGATGTTCTTCTAGTTTCAGTAGCAGTTGTTAGTGTTTTGTGATCAGCCTGGTATTAGAAGAGAGGCCAAGCCATCGAGGAGCTTGCATCTGGCTTCACAGAGACACAGGCTGGAGCCTTGGGCATGGGTACGGGTGTGAGGCCCCCAGGAGGCCACCCTGCTGCCTTCTTCCTTGGAGCCATCCTTCTCCCACCTTGGCATCACTGGAACTCTGCCTGCCACTCCTGAGATTCAAAGGGGCTACTCAGTCACCTCACTCTCTTTTGGTTTTCCAAGGAGTTGAGAATCTCAGATGTCACACGCACTGAGATAGCACCATTGGCTGTGAAGTGTTCCCTGAAAGAGCCCCAGTGCCAGGTACCCTGTCCTCTGCCCTCTGCCCTTTCCCTGCCCTCGAGCAGTGGCTGTGGGCAGGCCTGGAGAGGCTGGAGCAACAGCTGAGTAGGGAGGACTTTTGATTTCACAGACCCACCCCCACAGATCTCTTGTCTCCATCCTGTAAACAGTTTTTCTCATCTTCTCCCCAACACTCTTTGCATCTGAAGGAGAATGAAATGCTTCATAAGTATATTTTTAAAAATATTTTTAGTTGTCAATAAACACAAAACCTTTATTTTTTTAATTTATTTTTTTATGTGGTGCTGAGGTTCGAACCCAGTGCCTCCCTCACACATGCTAGGCAAGCACTCTGCCACTGAGCCGTAGCCCAGCCCTCATGAGTGTATTTTGAACAGAAATGTGTTCCAGTCTTTCTGATAGCATATGTTTCACAGTTGGCAATGTTTGGGTATACTTCTCAGTCTTTAGACTCAACTGCTTAACACAGTCATTGATAAACTTTAATAACCTTTTTAAAGATCATATTACTAACATGCAAGAAGCCCAAGTATCATCTTGCTAAATATAAAACAAACATTGCCAATATAAAATGGCCCTCTTATTTTTTTTTCTCTGCAGAGAAAAACTTTAAAGGAGAACTGGGGATTTTAAAATAAAATTCTAGAGTCAGACCTCAGGGCCCAGTTTGTGTAGCCTGTGGATTAAAATCAAAGCTGCTTGAATCAGAACAAATAGTGAACAAATAATATTAAGTGCCCACTATGTGTTATGCCTTTGAATCATTTCTCTAGTTTTTCATTCTAGAAAGTTTCCAACATGTGCAAAAGAGAGAGCATAGAATTGTAATTGTACCATGATTTTCCACATACACATCACCCACAGTTAGTGGTAGAGACTCATGACCAGTCCTATTTCATTTCTGCATCTAGCTACTTACACTGACACATAATCCCCACTGGTTTTTGTAAGCAAATCTAAGACATATTTCACCTATGTTTCTTATAAGTAAGACTCTTTAGAAAACATTAACAAATATCCAGCCAGCATTCAGATTTCTCTTACTGCTTCGTTTTCATGCTTTGTCTTGTGCAAACAAGAGTCAAGCGAGTAACACTTGTGGAACATGCTCTCTGCCTCTCCGCGTGCCTGGTGGCTGGGCCTTCATGTTGTTTGTAATGGCATTTACCTTTGAAGAAACACTGGAACTTACCCTGCATTCCCTATACTCCGCATTCGGCTAATCACATCTCTTGACATCGTTTTGCTTAACTGTTCATCTCTGACTCCTTGGTCCCTGTAAACTGGTTGTTAGGATCTAGAGAAGTTGATCCAACTCAGATCCAATGATATATACTCTTGCAAGACTGCTTCACAGGTGTTAAATGTGGTGCTGCAGGTTTGTAATCTCAGCTGAGGCAGGAGGGTTGCAAGTTTAAGGTGAGCTTAGCAAGTTAGTGAGACTCTGTCTCAAAGTAAAAAAAAAGGGGGGGGGGAGCTGGGATGTAGCTCAGTGGTAGAGCACTATCCTTGCATGTGTGAGGTCCTGGTTTCTTGTTTGTTTGTTTTTTTATATTTTTTTAGATGTTGATGGACCTTTATTTTATTCATTTATTTATATGCAGTGCTGAGAATCGAACCCAGTGCCTCACACATGCTAGATAAGTGCTCTACCACTGAGCCACCACCTCAGCCACAAGGCCCTGGGTTTAATCCCCAGTGTAGCAGCAAGAAAAGGGAACAAAGAGAATAGTTCATAGGTGGTGTACATCTGATTATTTTTCTTGGAGACATTAAGATTGATCCGTGCATTAGGTCCCTCTGGTCTGATCCATCACTTATAATGTTCCCATGAGCATCTTGCCTTTTGGTTTTAGCAGCTATTGACATTCATGCCTGGCTTTCTTCAGGGACTACAACAGGGTGCCAAACCATCAGTCCTTCCTCTCTTCTGTTGGAACACTTTTTTTTTAAAATATATCTTTATTTTGTTTATTTATTTTTATGTGGTGCTGAGAATCGAATCCAGTGTCTCCCATGCGCAAGGCAGGTGCTCTGCCACTGTGCTGAGCCCCAGCCCCTGCTGGAACACTTTTGAAGATGCTTCTCCACATGAGCTGTTCAGTACCCTAGGGAATGCATTCTACTGGAGAATTAGGAAAAAATAGCCCTGTTCTTTTCCTTTATTTCCCAGTTTTTAAAACAAGAAGTTTTGGCCTCACTAGCCAGATGTTGCTTTTGTCCTTGGGGATCTTCTTTTTAAATATCATTATGAATGAATGGGTTTTTCCACTGGTGGTGCAGGGTTCCCCCACGGCTACCCTAGCTGGGATGACTTTCTGGGAAGACTGTCAGAGTACGGAGCTCAGGAACTTTCCTCCAGAATCAAATGCTCCTGAGAAGAGTGTCCAGAGGGAACTTTACCTCACTGTGCAAAGCCAGAAAGGTCAGCAGTGACCCCCTGGACTCTTGCCCATATCCCTACAGAAGCCTCAGATTCCTGTGTCACCCAGACACCCTGAACATCCCTACTGTCTTCCTCTGCTTTCTCTTAGTTCCTAACCCCTCACTGTGCCTCTGCCATTCCTCTGAACCCACAACTTTTTCTCTGAACCATCCTGTCACCTTCCTCTTGTGCAACTAGCTCTCACCCTGAGGGTGATGGTGCCTCTTAGTCCCCCTTCACATGTGACAGGTGTGCACTACTATTCTGGGCACCCTATTGCCAATGACTGCTTCTTCCCTGGAGCTATTGCAGTCCTGGGACAGGAGGTGAGAGGGGTGTCCCTTGCTTCTCATTGTTGCTCCTTCACAAATGCTAGCTTTGGATCCTGCCTATCAAAGTCCCACCTGCCTTCTAAGCATTCAGCTCACCATGGGAGGCTCTGTGTTCCCTGTTAGCAATCTGCCTAGGGGCCTGTCCCCCCGCCCCACAACCTCTTACCCTCATAGTGCTCGCACTTGGTCTTACCTGCAACCCCGCTGCAGTGTCAGGTAGCTGGAGGTGCTGGGGATTGGACCCAGCTCTGAAACTGAGCCATGTCCCTAGGCTTTTTATTTTTATTTTGAAGCAGGGGCTTGCTAAATTGCTAGGCTGGCCTTCAACTTGTGGTTGCCCTGCCTCACCCTCCCTAGTAGCTGGGATCATAGGTGTGTGCCACTGCACCCAGCTGCAGTTTCACTTTAAGAAAACCCTCTCGAACTGTGCCTTCCTGTTTTTCTCGCTTATTCCTTGAGTGTCCATGACCAGCTCCAGGTCCCCCACATATGTGTCCTCATTGCTTAATGACCAGGCCCTGCCCTGACATTGCTGGTGTGCATGCTCACCATCTCTGCCCTGTCCAGCTCCTTCCACTCACTTACCATTAGCAGAAAGTTTTCCTTCAGCTCTTTATCTGGGACAGCTTGTTACTACCCTGTTGAACAGGTAAGAAAACTGAGAAATGAAAGTAGGGTTGCCTTCCCACAGTCAGGTAATGAGTGGTGGAGCCAATGATTGAATCCAGACATTATCTGAAACAGAGCCCATGCTCCCTATATTTTTATTTTTCCTGAGTTTATTCTTGGAGAATGTTTGTAGGAATAATAAAAATGAAGTATCATATATTGTTTATTTGAATGCACTGTTGATAATTGTAGCTCAATGTGTATTTCTTAGGGTCAAAGACATCATCATATCAGAGTAGAATTAACAAAATTGACACATGTAATATTGACAGAATGCCCTTGTCCACAGTGCACATTCTTGTTCCATCCAGGGTATCCTACATAGCTCTTGCCTCCTGATCCCCCCCCCCCAACTCTGGTGCATCCATTTGTCAGTTCAGGCCATCTTCTTCACCAGTATCACAGGGAGAGTGGCATTCCTAGGCCATCACCTGCAGGGCCAGGATTCTGGTCTGTGAAAAAGGTAGCTTTTCAAACCAAGCAGTGAGATTGTGTCCTTGGAATCAAAATACATCATTTGAAAAGTACCAAAGTATTCTTAGTTCTTTTCATTTCTGCTTCTTGTATATTGGTACTGCCAGTGAGATCATTGCCATCTTGATGGCCAGACAGTCCTGGCCTGCCTCCTCCAAGGCCCACGCTGTAAGTGGCAACTCACCACTGATGCCTTCTGCATCTCCTGCTGCCTGGGTCGTTCAGCTGCTCAAAGCTCCATCCCTTAAAGCTCCATCCCTTGCTTGAACTTCATTGGCATGTCCACTGCTGCTATTATCATCCATAATCGTTGCTTCTCCGTGTTCTCACTGCTAAAATCAGAGTGGGACACCTCTCAAATGAGTCGCAGTACATGAGTGGGCAAGTGAGTAAATGAGGAAGGTGTGCTGCCTGTGTATTCAAATACCCTCCTCACCAGGGTATACAAGGTACTCCAGATCTGCGAGTCTCTGTCTCCACTGAGAATGTAGAGTAAATTGCACATAAAACTCTTTCACAAAATCAGGATCTGCTAGTTTTCTACATTTTTTTCTTTATTGTTGAATATTATCACAAGAATATTGAATGTTCTTGATTCTTGAATTACTATTGGTTTTTATTATTTCTTTTGTTTGGGTTTTGTGGTTTGTAAGTATATTTGTACTGTCAGTGGCTGACTGTGCAGATCAGGAGAGTTTCATTGTGTCTTCCATATCCAGTGCTAACCTTTGCTAAGACAGAAAATTAGATCTTTTTTTTTTTTTTTTTTTTTTTTTTTAAGAGAGAGTGAGAGAGAGGGGGCACAGAGAGAGAGAGAGAGAATTTTAACATTTATTTATTTTTTCTTAATTCTCGGCGGACACAACATCATTGTTGGTATGTGGTGCTGCTGGGGATCGAACCCGGACCGCACGCATGCTAGGCGAGCGCGCTACCGCTTGAGCCACATCCCCAGCCCCAGAAAATTAGATCTTAAAATAGTAGCGTTTATTTTATAAGCTGTAAGTCAGTGCTAGTACAAAGTAAGGTGTGCAGTAGTGAAATACAAATATTTGCAAATTTGTGTCTATTTTTATAGATGTGCCTTAAAAATGTAACAGTTTATCTTTTGTATTGAAATAATTTGTTTCTTTTTTTTTTTTTTCTTTCCTCCTCTGCCTCTTTGTAAAGGAGTCAGTCACTGCCAACATAAAGTTAAGAAAGCTAGGCGCTTTCTCCCTTTGGTCTTCTGTTCCCATGAACCTTCTCCTGCCGGTACTGCACTCTGTTGCATAGGCTCCCTTGCTAACCACAGCACCACAAAGCTAACTCTCTAACTGATGCTTAGAGACTGTCCTCAGCAGCTCCTAGCTTTACTGAATGTCAGTGTGTGTGGTGTCTGCTGTCCAGAGGTGATAACTGGGGGAGGTTTGCTGTCTCACAATCTTGGAGCTGCTCTCTTGAGTAATAGACTTTTGTTTGCCTGTTTGCTGGTTTCCAAGTGCATGAAAGGGCAAAAAGTAGCTTTCCTGTCCCCTTTGCGTTCTGAGTGTTTTCCCACAGGGGTGGGCAGGACCACGTTCCTTGTACTATGGGTCTCCTAACGCAGCATGCACCTGAATGAGGAGGAGCGCTTAGAATCACCTGTGTCTGCTTTCTGTGCTCAGGATGCTGCAGAGAAGGGCCAGCTCTGCCGTTGGGAGGGTTTTCTAGGAAAGCAATGATTTTCTTACAATTGTTGAAACAATAATTTCTCCAGAATGTTGGTAATAAAATTTGTTGTTTCATACACATTTAAAGGGGATCCTTACTTGTTCGCAGAGCTGGGAGCACTGTACTCCCTGTGGTTTGCAGTGGGCCTGGCCTAGACTCTCATGTGGTGTTTGAATCCTGCTGCGCACTGCAGTAGGCTTATTCCAGGCGGGTTCCCCTTTATCTTTTAACATACATGTAAGGACTGGTTTGTCTTTTATCTAAAAAGATACAAATTCTCCCTGAGGGAAGTAGAAACATTTTTTAACATGTAATTGTGAGAGGCTGTCGAATTAATTTTGCTTACTATAGTAGAAACTAATTTAAAAGTCTATTACTGTGTAACTTGGTATAACATTTTGATATCTTAAAACTTGACATAATATCAGTCAGTTCAAGTAACATATGACTACAGTCTTTTGCCTTTTGAATTAGACCTGGGTGGGGTGATTTTGTTACTTTTCTCGAGATTTGATCAACTTGTCATTTTAATAGTGTCTCCCTCTCTTCTCTCCTCTCCCATCTCTCCTTCCCTCTGTTCCCTGCTCCCCCTTTCTTTGCATGCCACCTGGATCTGCAGATGAAATTAGTGGGGACGGTAAAATCTATTTTCACATTTGTGTTACTGCTATGATAATTATTTATGGAAATAAGTACAGTCCAGTATTTAATGAAAGGCAAAATGTGGTTTTGATACAACAGAAACAAGGACAAATGGCACAAGAACATGGTCTGATAAGGGTTGTTCAGGGTGGTGTGTGGAAGGTGTAACTAGTTATTAGCTAATCACATCACAGCAGGAAATTTGAGTTGTATGTTCATAGTGAGTTTTCTAGATTTTTTTAAGTTAAAATTTTAGCATTTTAGAAAATTGTCAATGCATATTTCAGCAAAATTAGTCACACTTGAAAACAGTGATAGAGATTCAGACATTCTCCATCTATAGCAGGTATGGAGTATGTATTAATGATTCCTAGATCAGAGTGAGGTAGTAGAAAGGAAAGAGTGAAAATGATTTTAGAGTCTTGCAAACTAACAGTAAGGGAAAATACCAGCAATAATGATAATGGTTGTCCCTCCAAACTGTTGATAGCACTTAATAAGCTCGAAAACTTAAAATCACATTTAGAGTCTTACATTTCTCGGTCTGTGCTGTCTGCATGGAACTTTATGGTCCTTCACACCAAAGAAGTGAGATTTTATAAGCTAAAGCAAAGTGGACAGTGTGTTTTCCTCGTGGCTGAGTGAAAGAATGCTCTTGCTCAAGATTCTGCCTCTGCTCCTGTGTTGGGATGGCAGTGTGGGACCCCTACATAGAATGAGCTTCGTGGCCTCGGGGAAAGGCCACGACATGACTCTCATCTGAAAGTGTGTGTTTTTCACAGGATTTGAAGCCAGAAGATCTGAGCTTCCTTTCTAAATCAATCCCTGGTAGTGATAAAGTCCGAAGTTTACGTCATTGAGAGCTTCCTATGTGCAAGCACCTTACCTATGTGATTCCTGCTCACAGCAGTCGGGAATAGCACTGGGTGGCCCTGTTTGCAGACAAAGAGCCTGTGGATCAGAGAGGAGTAGCTAGGTCTGGGCTCCAGTGTCACCCTTGTCTTCTGCTCCATCCTGTCACCAGGTGACTTGAGTGACCTGAAGCAGATTGTTCATCCCCTGCATCTCCATCAGTAAAAGGGGTCCCAGGGTGGTTATAGGATTACTGTGAAGCATACAGATTTAAATATCTACAGACAAAGGGTTGTTACTATAGGTTGACAGAATGCAAATGTTTTCATGTAATTTCCCAACACTAGAACTTTTCGTACTGTGAATTAGCCAGGGCAAGTATACTTAACCTATCGTACAAAAACACCCACATCCTAAGGGTTGACTCAGTTGGTATTGGTTGGGGGTCCACAAACTAAGGCCTAAGAACCCAGCTGTTCTGGTACTTCCTCTTGAGCTAGCAATGTGGTCACATTTTTTAATGGTTTCACAGAAAATATCAAAAGAAAGCTAGCTAGATTTGTGACATCACAGTTATGTAAAAATCCCAGTTTCAGCACCCATAAGTCAAGTTCTGTTGGAACACGGCCCCACACCTGTACTTCCATGGTGTCCTCCCCAGTTGCTGACTGTGGTGCAAATGGCCAAGCCGAGTGCTGCCCCCAGAGTGTGTGGCCCGCACAATCTCACACACTTCCCGTCTGGCCTTATAGAAAAAGAATGCCAGTCCCTGGCCTAGGTAGTGTGGCTAAATAATACTGCCAAGCAAAGTTGGAGTTATCTTGGTTACTAGAAAAGAATTATCTTCTGCTTCACATGCCTGCAGACTCCATGGCACATCTGAGTTATGCCGGTTGGATAGAAGACTGATACTGGTTAGTCCTCGCAAGTCGCCTGTAGCCTGGGCCCTGTGCAGATGTTAGTGGTTGAGAGTGCCTCAGACTTCCTGCCCCTCTTGCTTAGCCCCATGCCTCTGGGAGCAGTGGGGAAGCCAGACAAGGGAGCAGGTTGTCAGAATTGCTGCCTCCAGAAAACAGGAGAAAATGTGGAGACAGGTCCCGCTCTCTGCTTCATAACTGAAAAATTTCACAGGTTTTCAGTGCTTGGGAACTTTCTGAGCTCAAAGACTTTTGTGTTTCCTTTTGTTTATAAACCAGGCAATAGTACGCTTTCTCCACAGATGGATCCCTCCCAGACACCAAACCAATCTCCTGATAGCACCTCCAGAGGCATTAGGCTCTTTAAGTGACAGACCATGAACCTTTAATGTCTTTGTGCATGCTGATCAGTTAGTAGTGACTTTCTCTTCTTAACCTTGCTCTGAAATGACAACTTAGTAATTTCCTCCCTATTTGCTTAACTCTTAGTGTCCTTTTAACAAATTGTTCATCTAATTTATAATTTTGGTAAAATTCTAATGTTATCTAAATTTTAGGATTCTCCTTTTTAAAATGTTTCTATATATTTTTTATCATTCATTTTTTTCTGAGTCAAGGTCTCCCTAGTTTGCCCAGACTGACCTTGAACCCCTGCACTCAAGCACTCCTTCTGCCTCAGCTTCCAAAAGCTGGGAGTTTAAGCATGTGCCACCACGCCCAGCTTTTAATGTTTCTCTTTAAGCCTTTAACTCCTGGGCCAGGCATCTCCCAGGTTCACCACTAAGCCACCAAAGAAGTGAGATTTTATAAGCTAAAGCAAAGGGGTTTTCCTCAGGGCTAAGTGAAAGAATGCTCTTGCTCAAGATTTTGCCTCTGCTCCTGTGTTGTGATGGCAGTGTGGGACCCCTGCATAGATGAGCCCTCCTGTGAGCATCCTTGGTGTAGCACTCAGCCCTGTGGGGGGAGGAAGTATGTCTATAGGAAGTTGTGGTAGTTTCAAAGTAAAGGGAGTCTGGTTGAAAGGTGATTAAGGACCATGCAGCACTGCAAACTAGGCTCTGTGCTCACCACCAGGCTGAGTACAAGCTACCCCTGAGCAGGGTCCTGAAAAGCTGCACATCTGTGTGCCTAAGCCTTCTGCCTGGGAAATAGGAAGTGACAACTGTGCCCCCAGAGCACTCTGCTGAGGAGTAAGCCACAGTGCAAGAGCCCTTGGACACTGTCACCTACCAAAGCTGACAGTCCCTATCAGAAGTAGAGAATGCTGTCTAACAGATCTTTGACTGTTTCCTTTGTCCTGTATTGTCCCTCTATGATACCATTATTTGGGGGTGGAGGAAACAGTCTAAGGCTGGCCTCCAATTTATCAGGGCCCATAAGTGTGTAAAAATATCTCTGACTTGGGGATGTGGCTCAGTGGTAGGGTGCTTGCCCAGCAGGCCCAAGGCCCTGAGCACAGCAAAAAGAGAAAAGGTTCTCACCTCAATGTCTGTCATAGTATCCCATGAACCTAAAAGCCAGGAGAAAAAATATAACCAAATCAATATCAATAATTCTTAAGAGAAATATGCCAAGAACTGCCACTTGAAACTCCTATATAGAAACTGCAAAGCTTCATAGTCCCGTGTGCCTGTTGGTGCTTACTCAGCTTCTTAAGAACCGACCCGTGTAGTTCATGAAGTAATCATTCTCTGTGCACTTGGTGTCGTAAAGCATACATCTGCCCCAAGTATTGTGGCTAATTCCCAGGGGGCCAGTGAGTTCCCCAGAGATTTCCTGTAGTAGTCTCATCACTCTTTAAAAAATTTCAGAGTTATTTCAAGGGTGGAACCTCTGCTTGAGGTTTGTGAGACAGTCCTCAAAGGTACTTGAGCCACACTAAGACTGACTGGAAGGGTCATCACACAGACCTGCCAGCCCCTCTCAGAATCTTCACAGGAACATGACAGCACAAGAGGAGCAGTTCCTCCTTGGCAGTCTGTGGGTACAGGGCACACCTCAGCTTCATGCTCACTCACCCGCTACAGTCCTCACGACAACCTGGCACGGGCACTGTGCTCTCACTGTGCACATGAGAGCATACCTGACCCATAGTCAGGAAGCAACTCTCAAGCGGTCACATGTGCACTGTGCCTTGTCCCTTGTTCTGGGGATGTGCCACCCACTCAGTCTATCAGCGCACTCATTTTCTTGAGAAGCTGTATCTCCTGAGCACCTGCTCTGAGCTATTCACTGTTTTCCATGCTGAGAACACAGGTAAATAAGATGCACAAAGGCTCTGCTCCAGGGGCACTCTGTTCCCAAGAGCCATACAGACCAGTTACAAGGAAGCAGGGAAAAAAATTTTTAAAGTCAGAGGACAATAAGTCAAGGAACATGATCAAGAACATGGGGATAGGGCAGATTTGTTTGGGGAGAGGTCTCTGAATAGATGGGGCACTTGGCTGAAACCAGAATTGGCTCTGAGCCAAGATGAGCTTTAGAGGTGGTAGCCTCGGGTGGGCTGTGGCTATTGCTGTGCTTACTAGCCTTATACTCTTCTCCAGGCAGCACACGCCTAGTCTTCCCAGGCTCCCATGGAGTCTGCAGCATCTGCTGAGTCAGACTGAGAGTGAGGGCAGAGTTGTCAGAGCCTTGAACAATCGGGGACCAGGGCCCCTGGGGAAGGACAGCAGAGGTGGGAGTCTGAGCAGCTCTCCCAAGACCTGCCCCACTGGAGCCAGCCAGAGGCACATACCATTCTGCATGAAAGAAGGCAGGGAGGGAGCTGAGACTGCTGTCTGTGGAAAGGCAGTCTTGGTGGCGTTCATTTTCTGGGGGCATTGTCAGGAGGTTGAGCCTGCTAAATTACAGGATGAAAAGAAACAGTGATGAGCAGGTACTCATCTGGGGCTTGTGTTGCCTCTATCATCTCGGCTCATGCAGTAGATTCTTCCCCTCTTAGTCCTGATTGTTACAGGTACCTGAGCAGTTCCCTCTGCAGCTCCAGATCTTTTCCCACAAGGTCTTTTGATAAACCATCTTACACAGGAGCAAGGCTGCAGGCCTACAGTTTGCCAGTTTACTGTTCTTCATATTCTCTTGAGAACAGGAGAAGGAAGAGAAAAGATGGGCCAGACCTGGTGGTACACGCCTGTCATCCCAGCAATTCGGGAGGCTGAGGCAGTTCAAGGCCAGCTTAGGCAATTTAGCAGGACCCTGTCTCAAAATAAAAATCATCAAAGGGCTCAGATGTAGCACCAACGGTAGAGGCTTGTCTAGCATGTGTGAGGCCCTGGGTTTCAAGCCAGCACTGCCATAAAAGGGGAGAAGTGAGTGTTGATGGGGGAGAAATATGGAAATGAAAGAATAGAAGGTTTGGAATAGATTAAATTTTTTTTCTTGAATCCCCAAAGTAGCATTACTTAATAAACATGAAAGAATAATACATAATATTCACCTCTCCATAATCGTTTACATATGATAAATGTCTAAAAGAGAATTGATTTATTAACATTACACTCTGCCAGCCAGAATTTTCATAGTCATTTTAATGATGATACACATTGAGAATTGAATTCTTCCAGTTGCAGGCTCCAGCTCAGCTTTCATGGTTCTGCAGCTGAGTGAAGTATTGAGGGCAGCACAGGCAGCAGGAGGTGCTGGCTTCTCAGGCCCTACAGTCATCCCTCAGGTCTCTTTTGAGAGAACTTAGTGGGGCGGGGCTGTGGCTCAGTGTTAGAGTACTTGCCTAGCATGTTTGAGGCCCTGGGTTCGATCCTTAGCACCACATAAAAATAAATGTATTGTGTTTATCTATAATTTTTAAAAAATTAGAGCTTAGTGTCCCTCCAGGATGGTCACTAAAAACAGCAAAGGGTTCTGTTTTTCCAGAAAGAGGAGAGTAATGTGTTTTAGCGCAGTACTGTTGGAGTGACAGCTATCCCCTAGATGAGTGCTTTGAAATGTCCCCATTAGTGCAGTGGTAGGCTTTTAAAATCCTGCTTTACAGGAAGGAGTCAGTGGAAACATTGGAACTCCTTGACTTTGTCTCAAAAAATAACTCACTTTAACATGTTTCCTTCCTTCCTTCCTTCCTTCCTTCCTTCCTTCCTTCCTTCCTTCCTTCCTTCCTTTTTTCTTTCTTTTTTTTTTCCTCTTTTGATACTGGGAGTGAATCCAGGGGTGCTTAATCAGTGAGCCACATCCCCAGCCCCTTTCTGTATTTTATTTAGAGACAGGGTCTCACTGATTTACTTAGAGCTTCACCAAGTTGCTGAAACTGGCTTTGAACTTGCTATCCTCCTGCCTCAGCTCTTGAGTCTCTGGGATTACAGGTGTGCATCACCACATCTGGCTCTTTTAGCTGTATTTATTTATATTTTTTAAATATTTTTTTAGTTATACATGGAGACACAATATCTTTATTTTGGTTTTTTTTTTTTTTTCTAATGTGGTACTGAGGATCAAATCCAGTGCCTTACATATGTGAGGCAAGCGCTCTACCACTGAGCCATAACCCGAGCCGTCTTTTAGCTTTTTGACACTGGCATACTTCTTGAAATATGTGAGCGCAAATACAGAAGATAAATCCCTGCGTTTTTCAATCTGGAACAAATGAAATAAGTCAGCCCAGTTCCCCCCACAAAACTCAGGCTACCATTTATTCCCTCAAAGAAAAGTTTCAGAATATGCTGTTGAGTCTTGTCATTAATAAAATCAAAACTTCCTGGTCTCTAGAGGGGCCAGTCTTATTTGGGAGACTCCAGTAGCCAGAAGCATGGTTCTAAACATGTACATGGTATGTAGAGGGAAGTTCAGCAGCCAGCACAGGTTGGTTGATTTGGATCATGCGGTTATCTCTTTGTCTTTTTTTCTTTCCTTTTTTTTTTTTTTTTTTTCTTAACAAGGGCTTTCTGTGTTAGCCTGTTTGCTGTCTGAGAAACAAGTCTGTATTATTTACATTGACAGTGATGTCACTTTTATTTCCATAAATGACTCATTTGTGAGCAAAATTTGAGTATTTTAAGAATATTTCAGCATGGTAGAGGGTGTAGACAGATCGTTTTGCCTTTTTAAATTGTATCAAAGGCCAAGAGGTCAAGTCTTTAACTTCTGCCAACATATCTGTTTTCCTTTTGTACAGAGACGGACGACTATGCCGAGATAATCGATGAAGAAGATACTTACACCATGCCCTCAAGTAAGTGCTCTTCTCTCTGTATTTGCTGAGGTTGGTTATAGGGTATATAACCTATAGGTGCCTATAGGTTTTAGGGTATTTATTGTCCTTTGAAAACTTTATTGTGTGCTTAACAGAAGTGTTCTTTTCAACCTTACGAATTCTATATATGCACTCCTATAAGACCAGAAGCCTAAAATGAAATAATTAATGTTGTTTAGATAGAGTATTTTTGTAGTCTTGTTTTCTTGCTGCTTAGCAACATTTATTAGAGAACTTACTCTCTGTAGATAATTAGTATTCTTTAAAGGTTTAGTACACACATACATATGCAAAGAATTACACTTCCCCTTGAAATCATGCCTTGCTGTGTGTGGTTGACTGAGCAGCAGCTTCCAGCCTTTAGACCATACCCTCTGTGGTGTCTGTGTGGGACACAGAACCTCTGGATGAGTTCCTGCCACCTGGAAGTGGCAAGGTGCTCTCCTCTTTGTCTGTTCAGAGGGAAATCTGTAGATGCCCCAGCCCTTGCCTTGGAGAATATTGTCCCCAGCTCTTGAATTGGATAAGTCCTTGAAATTTCATGTTTGTAAAAAAAACAAGGGGAAAAAAAATTTTAAATTTAATCCCACCTCTTAAGGCAGCCTGAGCAGCTTTACCTGAAATCCAAATGCCCCGATATCAGTAGAACTAAGTATTTTAGTTTCTTTATCCTATTTTGTAAATATTTTTTAAAGTATTCTCATTTGAGTTGTATATGTAATGAGGAAACATTACAAAAATAAAGAGAAACAAGTAGACCTCTAAGGCAGGTATTTTCCTGGGCAAGCCACACTGGCCTGCCAAAAGTCACCAGTCACAACAGGCATGGTGGCCTACACCTGAAATCCCAGTGACCCTGGAGGCTAAAGTAGGAGGGTCACAAGTTCAAGGCCAGCCTTCACAGGGGCGGGGCGGGGTGAGATTTAGCACAATGGTTAAGTACCTCTGGGTTCAATCCCCAGTATGGAGGGTGGGGGGTTGTTTTATCAGAGTAATTAAAACCAAGGCAAGATCTGAAAATTAGTGTATATTTTTTAATAGCCAATGGCAATTTGGAAAAATGTTTTTTTAAGATTAAGGATAGTGTTTTGATTGACCATTTAGTCATTTGTACATTCCTACAGAGAATTCACATTTATATATACATATATAATTTATTTACTTATTATTTATAGTTTAACAGTAAATTCCTAACATGACTACCTTTTACCCAAACCTCACAAAAAATGAATTGAAAAATGGGAATTTATGAGATAGAGATTTAAAGACATTACATTAAAAACATCAAGGTAACTCAAAGATATAAAGTTTTTACTTGTTTAGATCTCTTTTCTTATTCATATTTGAGTTTAAAATAATGAAGTGAATATTATTGAAATATACTCTCCAAGTTTTTATTGTTAACCTAATTGCTATTAGTTATTTCTAAGCAAGGTCTTCAATTTTTTTCTCTCTTAATTGCAATACAGAAAACTATGGAATAGATGAAGGTAACAGGATTCCTTTGAAATAACTGCATTTGCTTGCAATTGCAACCGTGGAATGATACGGGACATTTCAGTTTTCAGTTAACTTATTTTAAACTATTTATCATTGGTTTACTCATTCTGTTAAATCAATGGAATTACTAGCTAAATTGATTTTAAAGAGGAAAACAACTATCTAAAATGTTGGTATAATGTTTATATACAATTGATTTATACAATTTGATCTCCCAGGGGAAGGTCTTAAGACATTTGGCTTTTGATTTGTTCTATTAGTGATTTCACTAATGGAATATATACAGCCCTGATTTGGATGAATTTCTTATGGGAAATAAATCAAAGGACCAAGTGGGTAATTGAATTGAAATTCAATCTATTCTGTTCCTAGAGGGTGTTTTCTTTCTGTGTGCCTCAACAGCCTGCCAAGACACTGATCTTATATAACTCATATTTAAGGCACATACTCTCAAGTTTATGCTGATATATTCAGCCTTGATTCCATGTCATCTGATTTTGAAATTGTTTTTTAGAAACTACTACCTCTTTAAACTCTCTTAGCTCAATGATAATCTAGAGATAAGACTATAATAAAGTGGAAAGCTCTTAAACTTTCAAAGCATAAAGTTTAACAATTTTATAGTGCCCCTGTGTTTATAAACTTTAGTTATTTGCAAAATAATTGCTTTAAATAATTGTGTTTTTCTAGACTTCCTACATTAATACCTAAACTAATAGCTCTTATTAATGAAGCATACACTATAATACTTAGAGCAATTATTTAGAGAACTATGAAACAGATACCAAATAAATCAGATACTTAAAGACTCCTAGTGTGGAAAAAAAATCTGCGTTTAATAAAACTCATTTTTATATTCATCCAATACCATAACTGAACAGAAGTTCTTTTTAAAGTATTGTTTAAGAGAATTCCACTCAGTTGAAAGCACCTCTGTATATCCATGTGCCACAGATGAAGTTTCTGCTCATGATGAAACTATGTGCCAAGTGTTGTGTCTACATTTAAAGTATTGCACCTAATTACGTATTGACACAGGTCGTGTTTTACAGCCAGGGACTATGAGATTCAAAGAGAAAGAATAGAACTCGGACGCTGTATTGGAGAAGGCCAGTTTGGAGATGTGCATCAAGGCGTGTACATGAGTCCAGTAAGTCCCTTACGACCCCCCAAAATATGTGCTAATTTTGACTGTCAAGTGTAAATCACCTCTTTTTTCTTCAGAAGTCCCCAGTTCCTCTGGGTGTTCACATTGTCTTTCTTTAAGCTCATTGCCCTGCTGTTGCCCTTCCTTCCATGTCTGCCCGTTTGTTAAACTCGCTACACACACACACACACACACACACACACACACACATATATATATATACCAGGGAATGGTACTTTCATAACCAAAAACTTGTAGACTTTTTTTTTTATATATTCTCAGTGTAGTGTTTACTTACTATTTATAGAATGAATCCTAGCCCCAGAAAAACACCAGGACTCCCAAGATGTCAAAGATGTTTCTGTGTTGCAGCAGAGGAGTGTAAAAGCATGCAGATTTCAAAACCCAATTGAGTCGAATGTATGAAAGATGATATGTCTTGAGCTCTGTAATGTTTTGAACAACCAATTAAAAAAAAAAAAAAAAAAGCATGCAGATGACGCTGGGCAGGAGACGCTGGTGGAAGGGGGGCTGGGACCCATGGTACAGGGTAGGACTCTGAGAGATGATCCCATGGCCGTTTTCAAACCTGTCCCTGCTGTATGGAGAGTAGGTGGTAGTGAGGCAGCAACATCTGCTCCCCTGAGGTGCTGGTGGTGCAAGTAGGTGCAATGAGCCCTGCTCCTTGCTTAGAGGATCCCGTGGGCATGGAACAGAAGAGTCACAATAGCTCAGGCTATCTGCCTTAAGCATCTGTATGAGTCCTTAAGTGAGATGGAGGAGACTCTGGAAGACACAGCTCTGACAGTGTTCTCCAGAGAGGCAGAACCAATGGGATCTGAGCCACAAGAGACTTATCATACACAGTTGATTCACACGGTCACGGGAGCCCATGAGTCCTGTGATCTGCACTCGGCAAGCCAGAGACATAAGACGGCCAGTGGTGTGGTCCAGTCAAGACCCAAAGGCTGAGAGAGTAGAGGGCAGTCCAGATCTGAAAACAGGAAATGGACCAGTGTCCCAGCCTGGCAGCTACCAGGCAGCATCTCTTCCTCCTGGAGGGTCCATGTCACTGAGGGCAGTTCACTTTAGGTAGCTTGCTGACTTGCATGTTAGACTCACAGAAATGTCTGGAATAATGTTGGACCAGATATCTGGACACCTTATGGCCCAGTCAAATGGCCACATGAGGTTCACCCTCATGGTATAGCACAGCGTTTCCACCTCCAAAGGAAACAGAGAGTAGGTGGGCTCAGTGTTGAATCTGGGCCAAGAGGGAGGTGGAACTGGGTGCTACTCTAAGGCCAACCTGTACTTGAGTTCCTTACATAGATAAGTTTGTTTATATAGAGGTGAGCTGGGACCAAATCCCAGTACCCCAAGCTACAACTCCAGCCCAGTAGCTTGCTCTTGAGAGGAAGCTAGAAATCGGCAAGCTCCAGGTACTAGAACTTAGAAGGGCTCTATTTACGAATCAGACCTTGGAACGAGTGACAGCGCCATGTTGGCTGGGGACTGACTCAGAATGGGTATTGTGTTACCAAGCTGTTGCCACCACCTCCTGCATATCACAATTACAAATTATCTAATTTTCCCCTTTCACTGTTTGCGGGGGGCAGTGTTTGGTTGTGGTTTTTTGTTTGTTTTGGGTACTGGATTTGAACCCTAGGGAGTTTTTACTACTGAACTACATCCTGCCCAGCACTTTTTATCTTTTATTTTTGAATTAGGGTCTCACTAAATTGTTCAGGCCTTACCCTCCAGTGCCACTGGGATTACAGGCATGCACCACAAAACCTCTGCTTACCCTAATTCACTGTCAGTGAAGTGCTCAAAGAACCTACCCCTACTGGCAGCATGACCATGGACAGCCTCCATGCCTCCATCCTCCATTGACTCACCTACAGGATCCCTGTCCTGGGTGCCATCTGTCACTTGCTTTAAGAGTTAGATAACATCCATCAACCCCAAAGAACCTTCTTATATAAAGCCAGGACATGCAAGAGCCATGGAGAAGCTAGACAGGGAGAAGAGAGGTGCAGCGAGTAAGGAGGACTCTGGACAGCATCACACCCACACCCACCCCCACCCCTGGGTGTCTCTGGCTGATGCAGCTGCATTTCCCCAGTAGGCTCTGGAGGATTCCCAGAAGGGATGGAGACATGATTCAGCATTGCCGAACCTTCACAAATACCCCAGCTCCTCTTTGGTCCCCTCCCCTATTCCCTTCCTCCCTTTTTCTGCCTCTTTAACAGAATGTGAGGCACTTTGCTAAAGTATCTGTGTGAAGTGAGGTAAACAGGTGTTCTGGCAAAGGAGCCTCAAGATAAGCACACTCAGATGCTGTCCAGACTCTTGATTTGTTGCAAGTGGCAGGTCATTTCTAGTATCATGTTTCTTGCATTTCTTAAATTCTATCTTTTGAACTTGAAGAAAAGACAAACTTTTTGGCTCCTAGGAAAACACATTTTTTTGTTTTTTTCCTACCCTGTGGTCACACTTTCCTGTTTCCTTTGCTATTTTCTCTTCTATCTATCTTCTCATTTTTTGTTTGTTTTTGTTTTGTTTTTGTTACCAGGAATTGAGCCCAGAGTGCTTAATAATGAACGACATTCCCAGCCCATTTTATGTTTTATTTAGAGACAGGACCTCGCTAAGTTACTGAGGCTGGCCTTAAACTTGAATTCCTCCTGCCTCAGCCTTCCGAATCTCTGGGATTACAGGCATACACTACTGGCCTGGCACTTGTTCAGTTTGTAGAGCTTGGACCCGTGTCCCCCTGATGACTGTAGTCCCATGAACTGAGCTACTTCCAGATGCCTGTCTCCAGCCAGGCTTCCACCTGAACTCCATTGCACCTGGGTGCCTTGGTGTCTCACTGACATCTCAAGCTCATCACAGCCAAAGCTGAATTTTTGGTCTTCCCCTTCCATCTTGCTTATTTCTCTGGCCAAAAACAAGAGCTTCCCTCTTTGTTACTGCGTCCACCCAGAGCCAACTTTGTCCTGCCTTCAGAGCCCCTCCAGAGGCTCAGCTCTCTATGTTCCTCCATTGCAGCCACATTTACCCAAGCCGCTATCATCTGTCCCCCAGCCCTTACTGTGGCTTACTGTGACCTCCACGTATGGGATTCCTGTGCCTAAGTTTGCTTCCCAGCAGCCATTCCTCAGCAGCTCAGCCAGAGTGCTCCTTCCTCTGCCCACACCCTGCCCTGGCTCCCCGTCTCACTCAGTGAAAACCACTGCCCCCTGTTGTCCTGGGAGGCCCCCTCTAATCGGGCCTCCACTCAGGCCCAGCTCCAGCCTCACACCCAAGTGGGTCTCTTTGAGTTTGCTATGTGCATCCAGCCTCTGCCAGACATAACTTCCTGCCCTTCGAGGCTGGCACCTCGCTTCCTTCTGGTCCTCACTCTCCTCCCATCTGCCCCAGGAGCCTCGTCCTGCATAGCCACCACAACATCTCCATGTCCTCACTCCCCTCTGGCAAATGACGCGCTGTTTCCTATCAGTTCTTCCCTGGGAGGTGAGCTGGACAAGAGCAGGGATCACTGCCTCTGCTGTCCACAGGCACCTCTTGCCTAGAGCAGCACCTGCTGCTGGAAGACACTCCAAACATGTTGAAGAGTGAATCGTCTTTAGCGGCTCATGTATGTCCATTTAGCTCAGAGGAATCTGCACAGTATTTTTGTTTTAAGTATTTCTATCATTCTTTAAGATCCTGTGATGCCAATTCTGTGTAGTCCAGATACATATAGTTGCAAAACAACAACTTTTCATGAATTTACCTGTTGATAAAGAACTTTCCTACATGTTATGTGATTCTGTGATCTCCCTAACACAGGAGAATCCAGCTTTGGCTGTCGCAATTAAAACATGTAAAAACTGTACTTCGGACAGCGTGAGAGAGAAATTCCTTCAAGAAGCCTGTAAGTGTCTAGAAATTTCTGTGTAACTTTATTTGACTTTCTATCTGTGAACTCTAAGACGTAAGGAAAAATATGTTGTAACTTTTATGAGATAATTATGTTTACTATTTTGCTTTACAAATTAATATCTGGATTTGAAGAGGTGTATATCTGCAGATTTTCCCCAGTAAACATGGTGTTTTACATGTCAGGGTAGAAGATACACTTTCCCTTTGTGCCTTGGTATAGGACCTCCTGTGCCCTCAGCCCTTTTTGGTTAATATTTTAGTAATTACATCAGAGGAGACACAAAAGTCTTTAATTATATGTGAAGATCGCACCAAAAGCGATAGTAAATACTAACAGTAAATTGAAAATAAGTGTAAATACATTTTGTACTTAAATGTTCATTTAAAGATGACAGAGTACTCACACAGTGACCTCAGTCTGACAAGAGTAAATTTAATGATACACTTGGAATTTTGTACTGGGCTTTTGTATGTTAAACAAAATCAAAGCTGCCAGGTCTTATTCTTGAAATATGTGGAAAATTTGGTAGTTGAAGGTGGGGGTATCCACCAGGGATTGAGTCATATTGAGTGAAGGTGAGGCAACTTGGCAAGAAACTCTAGGTGTGTCAGCAGGACCTGCGGTATCCATGGGCAGCTGGGACCCACCTCCAGGCATGCCTGGCTCTGGGCCTTGTGGCTCCACATTTATGCCAATCGGATGATGGCTTGAGAACGTCCTGAGAGATGCTTGCCGGCTGGTCTGGAGTGCAGCCTCCAGGTTTTGCAGGGACTGTTCCTTGAACATGGTTGTATCATTTCCCTAACCAGAGACAGGAAAAAAGGAACAGAAAGCAATGGAGTCGATAGGGAACCAGCCAGATGTCACAGCTGGTTCAAGAGAATTCCCAAACCCTGTGTCTATAAAGAGTAAGAATCTCTGAGGTGATTTCTTTTTTTTGTAAATACATGCAGATTTAATTTTACTTCCTCACAGAACTGAGTTGCATTTTTATGGACAAGTGACTTTTAGAAATTATGAACGAGCACTTGCCCACAATTTGGTTTGCCTTTGTGTGTGTGTAGGCTCTGGTGGTCATCTTGGCCCAGGCAGGTGGACAGACCTTAGGGGCTGCAGTGGAGCAGCACAGGACCAGAACTAGAGCAGGTTAGGTGACCCGAAGGCCCTCATAGGTGTCTGTCCAGGACATGCCTTCCTTAGACCCATGAGAGCAGCTAGTCACATGCAAGGGTCAGACCACAATGCTGGATGCAGCAACCCCTGTGTACCAACTAGAAATCCCTGTGACAGCCCCACAGAGATGGCTTCAGTCCTTGCAAGGAGCATGCCCAGTCAGCAAGGTATCCACACAGACACTCGCTGCAGTGGCTTCCCAGTCCCCGTTGCTCTCCTCCCAGTGTACCAGTCAGGTTGCTTTTACCAGGAGCATGTTGCCCAACTAAGTGAAGTATACATTCCCACTTTATCAGATGTCCAGAGAAAAACCTGGGAAGTAAGCCTATGTCAGTTTTGTCCTAGAGGAAAAGAATGGGTTTTCTTGGCCATTTATCCATTTTTGTTCTCCCATGGCACAAATTTGCCCAGAAGCACATGCCAGTGCACGCCCACTCAGAAGCAGGAGCACCCTGTGACACTGAGCTCTGAGTTCCCACACCGTTAGTATTTGCCTTCATTGGACTAGTCTTCAAGAAAAATTAAAGTTTTCGAAAGAATAACTGTAGACAACAACTTTTTTCCTTAGTAACAATGCGTCAGTTTGACCATCCTCACATTGTGAAGTTGATTGGCGTCATCACAGAGAACCCCGTGTGGATAATCATGGAGCTGTGCACACTGGGAGAGGTATGGTGAGCTCTGTGCCTGCCTGGGCTGGCTGCTCAGTAGTCTGCTGCTTCACAGTCAGCCAGCAATTTGGGCATGACATCCTTTGCTTCTGAAAAGGGGAGTCAAGAGATTACATCCTAGATTTTCAGGAGAATTCTCATACAGGATCAGGCGTGGTTTCCGTCCATAGAATGTTAGTGTGGGTATCTTCATCACTGAGCCAGGCACAATAGCACACACCATAGTCTCAGCTGCTCAGGACGCTGAGGTGGGCCAATCTCTTGAGTCCAAGAGTTCCAGGTCAGCCTGGGAAATGTAGGGAGATTTGTCTCAAGAAAAAAAGAAACTTTGTCACTAAATTCCCAGATAATCCTGGCAGCTGTTGCATCCAGATATTTTATCAGAACTGGTAACAACACACAACCAAAGGGTTCTTTTTCTTTCTGTTGCCATTGTCTGAAGAACTAGCCCAATGATTTGAGGATGGAAGAAACATTGTTAATAGAGTTTGGGTAAATTAATGCTGAATTTAGGTAAATCCAAAATGTCAAGAGAATTCACTTTGAGTTGAGAATTCACAAAGTGTTGAGAATTCACTTTGCAGTGTCTTTTAGATCAGCTGCCATTAGTCACAGTTTCTTTGAAAAATGTGAGTAACAAAAGTGTCAGCAGCCCTCTTTGACGTTCTCCAGGTTACTGAAACCTTAGTCAGAGCACCTGGAAACTTGCTGGAAACACAAGCTCTCAAGCCCCACCCCAGCTGCTGAGTCTGGCCAGACTGGAGCACTGTTTCTGTCAGCTCAGCCCACCTTCTTCCTCTGCCTATGCTTCTAAGACAAATGGAGTGTTTGTGAAGATTTCCCCCCCTGGTTTTTTTCTGCTTTGGCTTTTGGAGAGTTTGTTCATTTTTCTGACTTAAGAGCCTGTTGCTAAATATTTGTCTTTTATTTGCCAATTTTCTAGAGTATTAATAAAGCCGTGTGCCTTTCTTTCCCATGTTAGTTTATGTAGCTGAATTACTGTGTCAGTCTAGTCTTGAGACCAGTGAGCCCCTGGGGTGAGCACCCAACACCTGACCACTGCACCCTTACCATCCCGTCCTCCTCACTGCATGGCACACCCGCCTGGGCCACACTGAGTTTTGCAGTGGTGGTGAATAAGCTGCGTTTGTGTGTTAGGTTCATTTGAACAGTAGCTAGATCTTTGGGGTCCCTGTTGTTATTAGCAGTTCTTTATTTTGTGATTCTATTATTGTTTTGAAGCTTGTCTTCTATAATTTTTTTGGAATTCATATATAGGCATAAAGATTCTAATTTTACAATAGGATTGAAATAATGATTAAGTACAATTTCTGAGTTAAAATGTTTCATTCATTACTTTTTTTGGTTTTTTTTTCAATTTTTTTTAAAGAGAGTGAGAGAGGGGGGGACAGAGAGAGAGAATTTTTAATATTTATTTATTTTTAAAAGTGAAGCCATTTCATAGTATTCATATGTGTTTGGAACGTTGGTGCAATGCTGTTGAGTGTAGCTTTTATGCTGTTGAGTTTTATTCTCTTTTTTTATCTTGCTGTTGTTCCCAAAGCTGAGGTCATTTTTGCAAGTAAGGAAATACAGCTTGGATCTGGCATCTCTGATCCTATATGCCTATCAGCTCAGTACTGCACTGGCGTATCTGGAGAGCAAAAGATTTGTACACAGGTGAGACACAATCCTGAAGCTACCAAGTGCCTTGAGTGGGTGGAACTGCAGGCCAAGTACGAGGAGGAGCCATGCTCCAAGTGCCCCAGAACCTTTCATACCTCTCAGATCTGTTGCATAGCCTGTCGGGTTGTCCTACAGAGGGAAGTCCTGGCTTGGAACACATGGTGAAAGGCTTTTCTTGGATGCTTTCAGGACATTTATTCCTTCCACACATATAGTCAAGAATGTGTACTTGACATGAAGCAGGGGATATGTGGAAAGAGTCCCCGAAATAATTAACTCCAGGACACCACAGCGTTACCCGTGACATCTGTTGCCCTTCTCTGGAATTTCTGTTTATAATCTGTGGCTCCAGTTTGATGACCAGTGAAAGTCTTTAAGAACTATCTGCCAAGGGTCACACCAGTTACTGTGTTATTGTCCAGCTTTGAAACAAGCTGTATCCACAAAAGCACTCAAAAGTCTTGTGCTCAGAAGATGACTTTTACTTGATTAAACAAGATCTCTTTAGTACTGGTGAAGTTACAGACCCCCATTTGAGCATGTCTGTCAGTTATTGCAGATAACGATAGAATTGTATGAAAAGTTAATAAGCATTTTCATCATTTGAGAATGTTTTTTCATTATTTAAGATAGCTATTAGCATATTTATGAGTAAATATCTACTAAAAGGAATAGATGTGAAGTAAAATCATGTTCTTTAGCTTATAACAAATCTATTTACATTGTCTATAAGCTGTCTTTCACAGTGTACCTGTGAAAATATGTTATATAGTATAGATGAGTTTAGAGGTTTGTTTTCATTGTGTTAAAATTTATTGTCCTAAATTCTTCCTTGTCAGGGACATTGCTGCTCGAAATGTCCTGGTATCCTCAAATGATTGTGTAAAATTAGGAGACTTCGGATTATCTCGGTACATGGAAGACAGTACTTACTACAAAGGTAAGAAACTAAAGCAATAACTAAAAATCTTTAATGTATTTATATTTCTTTAAAAAAGGTATTTTCCAGGGGCTAGGGTTGTGGCTTAGTGATAGAGCACTTGCCTATCACCTGTGAGGCACTAGGTTCGGTTCTCAGCACCACATATAAATAAATAAAATAAAGATCCATTGACAACTAAACAATATTTTTAAAATAAATAAATAAGAAGGTATTTTCCAGTGTGCTTTCCTTGGGTGTCAGATGGATTTGGTGAAGGAAGGAAGGATGGCCCTGTCCACAAACGGTGCTAGAGGAGAAGGATGTCCAGAGTGACCCAAAATGGATCATGAGCTTATAAAACATAAAACCATAGAACCTTTAGAAGAAAAATATAAATCTAGAGAATCCTTTAACTTGATACCAAAAGGAAGAAAAATTGATAAATTGGACCACATTAGAATTTGTAATTTTTGTTCTGTCGAAGACTATTAAGAAAATGAAAAGTCAAAGTACAGGGTAGGAGAAAGTATTTACCAAACACACAGGAGGAACTTCCTTAGCAGGAAGATAGATGAAGAAGGTACTTGGGAGATGAACAAAAGAAAGGAAGACCTTCACTGAAGAGAACATAGGGTAGCAAATGAGCCTTGACCTTGTTCAGTATCTTTAACCATCAGGGAAATGCAGATTAAGACCAGAGGGAGAGAACACTGCACATCGTCACAATCATTACAACAAATACTGCCCATACCTGGTGGTAGCGATTCAGAGAAGCTCAGCCACTAATAAGGTCCTCAGGGGGATGTAGAACATTAGAGCCACGCAGGAGCGTGTACAGGGCCTTCAGTGAATAAAACTGTGACCATCATTCAGCACTGTGGTTGGACTCCTGGGCACTGATCCCAGAGAAGTGAAGACTTAGCATATGCACTCTTGTTACTGCATTTTTATTTGTATTGGCCCAAAATTTCAATCCAGTTGGCTCAGTGGTGGAGTGCTTGGCTAGCATGCGAGGCCCGGGTTCTTCAGCAGCAGACAGATAGCCTTCCTGACTATTCTCTTTCACACCCTTTCTGTGTTCTGTGCCTGTGACTACTATCCTGTGATCTTTTGATATGTGAGGAAAAAAGTTTGTTTTTGTTATTTAGTCATTTAACTTTTTTTAAAAAGTCAGTTTTTCAAATTTTGAACTGTATCTCATATTTAGCTCAAATATTAACTAGTCCAAGTCCTAGAATTCCAATAAAGAGCTAAGTTCTAAATTCATACAAATACCAAAATTTCACATCCTTTAACAGCATTTAAAATGGGCAGTTGGGGGCTGGGGTTGTGGCTCAGTGGTAGAGAACTTGCCTGGCACATGTGAGGCACTGGGTTCAATCCTCAGCACCACATGAAAAATAAATTGATTAATTAAACAAAGGTATTGTGTCAATCTACAATTTCAAAACTAATTTAAAAAATAAAAACGAGCAGTTGGTAATTCATGCAGATATCACCTCAGAATGATCAATGAGTGTAGATTTTTTTGGATAATGGAAAAAGAACCCCAAAGTATTAAGACTTCTTCAAACTACTCCTTTTTCTCAGGGCTCTAAGGGTCCAAAGGGCCCTACATAGGCCCTTGGTGTCTGTACCTGTTCCTGGTCACCATCCACCCTCCCACTCCTCCCAACCCTGGTCTGTCTCTGCTCACTCCATGCCATATTTGAGGTACCTGTTCCCACCTTGTAGCCTGTCTCCTTTGGCTCCTCTGGAAGCCCAGCAGCTGAAGGATGGTCCTGGATGGTCTACCTTGGCTGCAGGAGGGAAGCTTCCTGGCCTCTCCCGGGGTTGATCTGGGCTGTCCCGAAGAAGTCACCTTTAGCTCCACGCCCCTCACTCTTCACATGCAAATGGAGGATAGCGTCCATATTTGTGTATTTACTTATTTGCTACAATTTGTAACCCATAAGACTTGTACGCAAGGAGCTTTTGTAGTCAAAGACATGCATGGGGCAGCAAACATTTCAAGTCTCCCCAGTAGGCACATTGGCATTCTCCCTCCTATCTAGCCAGAAGTCTGGGTCATAGGCCGCTCGGCAGAACCGAGCCACCTGTTAGTGGGGCAGACTCCAGAAGGTCTCCTGACGAGTAGTCTTAGGGCTTCAGGTTGTGATCTTTGTGAGACGTCACATATATGTGGAGCATTGGCCCCATATTCATGGCCACGAGAGTCGAGTGTGCGGTACGCACTAGCAGGACCCACCCGTCTTACACGGGTGGGTGTGTCCTCGTGAGCATCGAAGCCCTGCCACTCACTCTCCTCCCTGCCCCTGCCTCACCTCAGGGCATCAAGGAAGCAGAACATTGCTCTCTAAAGAGTCAGGTGGAATATTTGAAGCTTTATTTTTTTATTACTTTTCTTTAATATTTATTTTTTAGGTGTAGATAGACACAACACAATGCCTTTATTTTTATGTGGTGCTGAGGATCGAATCCAGATCCCGCCCATTCTAGGCAAGCACTCTACCTCTGAGCCACAATCCCAGCCCCATGCAGCTTTATATTTGATAGTGAAAATCTCAGCTCTGCTAGGTTCTCAAGCAGATTGCAGGGAAAATTTATTTTCTAAAATTAATCTTCTAGCTTCCAAAGGAAAATTGCCTATTAAATGGATGGCTCCAGAGTCAATCAATTTTCGACGTTTTACCTCAGCTAGTGACGTGTGGATGTTTGGTGAGTATTTCTCGGAGTTTTGTGTATTTTTAATAATTGTGTCTCATGTGCTTGGCAAAACAGGCCTTGCACTGTCTCTCCCGAGTGTGGGTTGCCTGGCCTTCTGAGCCTGAGCATCTCCCTGGCCACACAGGTCGTGGGGCTGTGGTTGAGGAGCATGTGCAGCTCACAGCTCTTGGGCATACCTTGTGGCGCTCTGCCTTCTGTGGCACGTCCCATTGCTATTCTGTGCTCCTCCTGCTGCTGTCTCTTCTGCCTGGGGAGCAGCTTTGACTGTCTCCTTCCTTCCTTCTCTCCCCTCGGCCATTTCATGATTCTCTGTGACAGACTCAACATTCAGTTGTCCTCGGCCCTTCGGTGGCCCTGCTTCCCGAGGTCTATACTGTCCTTGGTGTCCTTCCTCTGGGGCCTGCTGGCCTCAGCTGCTGCTTCCCTGTCTGGCCCAACCCCTCCCATCCTCTTCAGTGGTCGTCCTTCTCTCTGGATTGTCGCAGTGCCTTCCAGCTGGTGTAAATGTGGGCTTATCCACCTGCACTGTGTGGCTGGACAGCTCATCCTGACTGTGGCGTGACTTGCCCTTCCTCCCATGGGTGGCACTGCCTCCCGACTGTCCTGCGTCATTCCGCTTCCTGGCATCTCTTGTCTTTCACCCTCACGTGTTGACCTGATGGCAGTCCTATGTGTGAGTGTCCCGTGAGATCAGGAGCAGCTCAGAGTGCTGGCTGAGTTCATGCAGCTTCTCCTGGCTCCATGCTGTTGATTTTCAGCAACCATTTGGTGCCCTGATTGGTATTTAGGAGCCCACAGGTAGAAAAAGGAAGAGCAGCTGTGTAACCCAGACTGCAGGATCCCTCTAGGAAGGTCATGCCCCAGATCCTGCAGCACCTATGGTCACATCTTGCCCTTTCCAGGGCGGGGCCCATTGTGTCACCTGGGGGCATCTTTGTGCTGTTTTGGGCTGGCCTGCTCACAGGCGTCATGTTTGTTCACATTATTGTTTTTGTGTCCAAGTGAGTTTGAAAGGGCTCTTCTGGTAGGAATAAAGTGGTAACCCCAAGTGGGAAAAAGGGTTGCATCATAATCACTCTGGCAGTATTTCTCCCTTTTTGTCACATAATTAATGGCATCTCATATTTGATTTAATAAAATAGTATATAGAGAAAGGTAAGGGCATTATGAGAATTAAGGATGACATGTGATTTTCAAAGAAAGGATGTAAGTTCTCGAGAAATAGTGACTCTTAATTTTATTACTGATAATGGGATTATAATTTCTACTAAAAGAGTGGCACCAAGACATTATTTTTTTTGTTAGAGATTCTGGAATTATCAGTAGTTGCTGATGTGTGGCTCAATTTGAGAATCCAGCTCACGCCAGCATGGGAGTTTCCTTCTTTGCATCCCAAGTCCTCTGCATGGGGCATTGTTCCTACCGTGTGCATTCCAAGGTAGAGTCAGACCTGAGACAGCAGCCTCGTCCTAGGGACAGGAGGGTCTCCTAGAACTACTTCAGGAACAAGCTGAAAGGAGGTGGTCCGACAGCAAAAGGGCTGATGCCAGGGGAGGTGTGCTGTGGCCTGCCAAGGCACCGGCCTCCCAGGCGGCCAGAGTGCAGGTGGCCATCGTGTGGTGCTGTAGAAGGTGCCTTTGCTCACGTCTCAGTGCCATCCTCAGTGTTGAGCTGTCCTGTTTGTTGATTTGAAAGGTGGGTCTATAGGATCACTGAGCCGATAACAGAAAGTCTGGCCTCCTGGGGCAGAGTGCAGTCATTGCTAAGGTGCAGCCTGGTCTGGGTGAGATGGCTACAGCCACGGGAGTCCTCAACCAGGCCAAAGGAAGGGAGTGGTGGGCTGGAGGGTCGCCCAGACAGCAAAGCCATCGTGCGCCTTAGAGGGAAAGCTGAGTTCTCTGAAAGCTGCAGACTTGTGCTTGAGGAGTTTCTTTTCAGGCCTCAAGGCAGCAGCTGCAGTTGTAATGAGGCTGGGCTGAAGTTGGGTGGGGATGTGCAGGTAGCCTCTCTTCTGGAGCCATGGAGTGTGCCTGAGCTGGTGGGTCACTTTCAAGTACAGCATTTTCAGAGAAATAGACCTCTGAGGAAAACAAGGGGATTTTATGGCTTTTTCTTTGTAATAATTCAGCACTCCATTACTCACACCCCGTCAAGTGGTTATCACTGATCTCACTATATGTTGGAGGTAATGAATACTGCTCTGCTTGATGTGTTGCCTGGATCTCACAGCTGGCCCCATGGTGCCCACTGCAAAGCCACTCCCAGACATGGGGTTGCCCTTCCTGCCGAGCTCACTGCGCTGTTTTCATTCCCACTTCACAGGTGTATGTATGTGGGAGATTCTGATGCATGGTGTGAAGCCTTTTCAAGGAGTGAAGAACAATGATGTGATCGGTCGAATTGAAAATGGGGAAAGATTACCAATGCCTCCAAATTGTCCTCCTACCCTCTACAGCCTTATGACGAAATGCTGGGCCTATGACCCCAGCAGGCGGCCCAGGTTTACTGAACTTAAAGCGCAGCTCAGGTAGGAGTGGGGCGGAGAGGGCTTGGGCGGGGGCAGACCTTGCTGCTTCTCCTCCTTTGCAGTCATAGCATTCTAAGGTCATTTTATCAGGACATCTGAGGCTGGGCTGTTTCTTCTGCAAATTCAGTTAGTTTAAAATTTAATTGGCATTTCTTTGTACCTTGCTAGAGCCTTTAATGAATAATATCTTCAAATCTTAATGAAGTTCCAGCTGTGGTCAGATCTCTCCCCAAGCTCCTGACTTGGCCTGGCTTAGGTGGCCCATGGTTGCTGCGACCCTGCTGTCACTGCAGCCCTGCTGACACTGCAGCCTCCTCCACTCGGCCCCTTTGCCTCCCTGTACTAGTGCAGGGAGCTCACTGCCTGCTCCCCCACCTTGCCGGCAGCAGACTCAGACTCCTACTCAGAATCCATGATGCTTCCCCATGCAGCCCTATCCCCCAGAGAGGTAGCCTCTCTTCTGCCACCACTGCTGGTTCAGGTGCCTTTTTGTGGTTCCCACTTTGTGCCAGGCACTGTTAGGCCCAAGGCCTCCAGTAGCTTCCGGACCCCTGGCAGTCACACAGGGACTAGGTGTGTACTGAGTCCCTCAGAGAAGCATCTGCATGGTCTACCTGCCATCTGCCCTGGGGAGGTCCTTGTTTTCATGTTTGTGTCCTCAGCTTTAGTCAGAGCTACTGATAAGCACCACCATATCTCACTCATTTCTTCAGCCAATACAGACTGTAGGACCAGGCACTATGAATGAATGTTTGTTGAACTGAATCAAATTAGAATCTGCATTGGGGCCAAGTATTTTGATAGGGACAGAATTTTTTTTTAATTCCAAATATCGGGGTTCATGGCACCCTGCAACTTCATCTGGCCCTTGCTTTTTGGTGGTGCCCAAGCACTCCTGAAGCTTCATCAACCTTCAGACGGCTGAGCCACTGGAAGAAGGATCCTTGCAGGAGAGTGCTTTGGGAGGGTCAGCCCTGTTGGAAGGAGTGTGAAGCTTCTTTCTGTCCTCAGGTGTTTGCTGGATGCTTGTGTTCTGAGCAGGTTCTGTGGGTTCATGGTGACCAGACAGTCCTTGCTCAATAGAGCCTCATCCTGAGGGAAGAGCGCAGTCAGGCCAGCCTCACTTGCTGTCTCCACTTTTTGCCCACGGGGCCACCAGCACCCTCATCTCTTCAGTCCTCTTCAAGTAGACACTCTTCAGTCTTAATCAGTTCTCACACTCATTATGTCCTCCGTGCTACTGTAGCTGGGTTTTGAATATGCTTTATTTCATGTTTTGCTTAGATTTTTTTTGTTCCTCCTTGATCTTCCCCCAGAACTTCACAGAGCCTGTCCTTGAAATTTACCCTTCTAGTATGGGTTCCATCACTCCACCTGCCTGGTGTCTCCCTACTGACTGACATGCTGACCACATCCTTCCCAGGGGCGTTGATCAGGTCTCTGTTCTCAACTGCCCTTGTGCCCTCAGTACTCCTGCAGATTCCGTGTGCCCTTGATCTGGCCATTCGTGGACTGGGCCTCTCCACTTTTTAGCTTTGGCCTTGTCCTTTTCTCATAAGTTCCAACCTACATTTTAAATTGCCAGCTGGGCATTGTGTTACCCAAGAAGGAAATCTGTTGCCTTACCCTCTGAGCCAGTTCTTCTGCACTCCTCTCCTGTCTGGTTGGCACAGCTGGCTTGGTTTTCCTGAAGAACACCATGGAAAGGGACCTCCCCTGATCAGAATGGCCCCTAGTGGGTCACTGGCACCCACCTCCCATGTCCAGATAGAGGCCTGCAGGCCACACTCAAGCCAACTTCCAGCATGGCCAGACGGCATCCCCATATCTTCCAAATAGCCTGGCAGATGCCCCCTCCTGTCCTGGTGTACCCCCCTGTACCCCCCCCACCGACGCCCCGCCTGCCTGGCCCTCCCTGTCTCTCAGCTACTGTCTCACGCTGGCTCTTCTGGGCCTCTCAGCCACGCAGCCTGTACCCTGGGTCTCCAGAGCCCTGTGTCCCTGTACTTGTTGTGCTACCACAGAGGGCTGCATCCCAGTTCAGCTCTGTTCCACAAGGGCTGCCGAGCCTGGCACTGGTCACTGGGCCAGATGACCGGAGCACTTTTCCTGCCCTCGAGGAGCTCACAGTCTAGTATGTCTCCTCCCTACTAGACTGAGGCTCCTTGAGGACAGGGATCGTCACACTCACCTCGGTTTGCCTGCACCTCCCGCCAGGAGCACTGGCTGGCCTGTGCACACTAAGCACAGATGACTGAGCCTTCATGTGTCCCAGGGCGCTCTGCTTTTAGCAGAGATGGAGTTGAACTTGGCATTTTGAATATTTGTAATATGGCTACCAAACAGCTGATGAAATTAAACTTTTTTATAAAATTGCTTACTTGGGCATTTACGTAATTAAATAGCTGCTATTGTGAAGTTTTTAAGAGTTTTTATTACAGTCAGAGTTTTCACAAAGAAACAGCAATTGCCTGGTGGTCCTCACCCACCGGCCAGTCAAGTGTGTTTCCCGCCCTGTGCGCTCACTGCACTGTGGCCTCCACTCGTCCTGACTGGACTGTGTGTGTGTGTGTTCTGACTGTGTGAGTTGAAGAGAGGGACTTCCAGGACCAAGCTTATTAGGTGGTGTCTTAGGAAAACCACTCAGTGAGACTTTACTGAGTTAGTCAGTCTCTGTGTCCCTAGGAACCTGTCCTCATGACCTCTTTCCATGTTCGTAGGAGTGAATTCATGGAGGAGAAGGAGATCAACCTGCAGGTGGCTCGTTATCAAGTGTAAAAAAGCCCCACAATAGGAGTATTTTAAGTGTACCACAGTAAGAATTTCTCATCATACGTATTCTAGCATTTTTGTGTTTTGTGGTTGACAGATTGTTAAAGGTGTACTAGAGCTTTTCTGATGGAAAATCATTTGGTCCCCACTTGAGTTCCGTTAATTCTTGGTCAGATTCCGCATGCAGGAGACCACAAGAAAGAACTTCGGGAGCTTCTGTTCAAAACCAAGACTTCTGAGCAGCGCGCTCCCTGACAAAGGCATCTGTGCCTCTGTAAAAAGGATCAACATGTTTCATCTCAGTTTAGGGAAAGTTTTAAGTTCATGTTAAATTTCTTAAATCCTCTTTAGATTAATATGAATGAACAAAATTATTAATTTAATTAACAAATTAATTGTGCCATAATTTTAATCTCTTCCTTACCTTCTTACTGCAGTATAAAAATACCAACGCTGAGGGGATTGCTGAGTGAACAGCTCAGTGGACTCTCTCAGGTCACACACACTGTAACCAGTGGGAACCAAGATGGCCGCAGCCTGGAAATGCACCCAGATTGCCCTCCCTAGTCGCTGTCCACCCTCCCAGGGTAGCCTTCGGGTTGAAGGTCTCAGCTGTCACCCTTCTTCTTTGTGATTTAATTTGCTCAGCATTTAGCTGGTGAGGTTGTCCCTGTCACTCGGGTAGCTGTATTTCATTGTCATGGCTGTGTGGCCCCATTTGTGCCCACACCAGAGTTGATTTCTCCATTCCACAGTGGTGGATATTTGGATGCTTACTAGTTTGGGGCTTGAGAATATTGCTCCAGCCAAGCAGGAGCCACACCTGTAGTCCGAGGGATTCAGGAGGCAGGAGGATCACAAGTTGGAGGCCAGCCTGGGTGACTTATCAAGAACCTGTCTCAAAATAAAATAAAAAGAACTGGAGATGTAGCTAGAAAGAGCACCCCTGGGTTGGTCCTCAGTACTGGAAAAAAAGAATACTGTTCCAAGAGTGCAGCAGCAAGATCTTGTGAGCATACATGTGGGTGGGCATCGAGGTCAGGCATGTATCCATGCACCTGAGACTGTGAGCCTTCTGTTTCTAAGTGGACAGACGTGTACCCAGGAGAGAGCATGTCTTCCACTTGCTCCAACAGTAGTTGTTTTCAGTTTTGTTTTATGCTTTTAAACCTTTGGAAATTATTACTTATTTCTAAGCAAGCCATTTTCACATAGAAAGAGAAGGTTAAAGGATACATGTGGCATGTCAAGGTATTCACCTGAAGGTCTGTGTTATAAGGACACTCGGCTTGCAAGCATAGCCTTGGAAGACAGTCACATTCTGAGCCAGTCTCCCTCACTGAGCTCTTTAGGAAGCGCTCACTGAGTTGATAGCAAGTCTCCTCTGCATTACTAGTCACTGCATTAGAAAGGAGCGGTCACTGAGCCCTTTGTGTGGCCAGGCACTGCACCTTGAGCTTTTACCGCAGCCCCTGGGGATATAGGCGGCACCCTCACCTTCACTTTGGAGATGAGGAGGTTGAGACCATGTGGCAAGGCACTGAACCTGGGGCTTAGAACTGTGACCCAGCAGATGTACCCACAGGACAGCTCAAGCTGTCCTGCCCACAGCCTCAGTTAGATGTCTAGAATTCCCTGAAAACATTGCCCTAGTTGGTGCTGTGGCACATACCTGTAATCCCACTGACTTGGGAGGCTGAGTTAGGAGATCACAAGTTCAAAGCCAGCCTAGTGAGACCTTGTCTCAGAATAAGACATAAAATGGGCTGGGCATGTGGCTCAGTGATGAAGTGCCCCTGGGTTAAATTCCTAGTATCAATAAATTTTTTTTTAAAAGAGAAAACATTGCCATATGATTTAGATTGATCAGCAACTTAATAAATGAGTGAAAAAAGAAACACAAGAAAGAGAAATCCAGAATTCCTATAGCTGGGCTTTCTACATTGTTTGAGTATCAAAAGGTGCTATTTGTGTACAAAAAATTGAAATGCATTTTGCTGTTATGTATAACTAAGTAGAACAAATTTTTAAAAGTTGTGTGTGTGTGTGTGTGAATAAATAAATAAATAAGGTGCAACAGCAGCACCAAGGCCTCTACCCCAGGTCTTTATGGGTGACAGTTTCCCAGTGTGCCTTTTGTCTCACTGCCTGTTTTGCTGGCTCATCCTTAGTGTGCTCCCACAGGGAGCAGCTGGGGAGTCGGGCCTCTCTGTGGGGGTCATCCTGAG